CCAAAGCCAGCACTTGGGGCAAGCTGGGCAAACCTGACAACCAGAGGAAGTTCTAGGTAAAAAGCATGGAGACATACTTGTTACCTTCTAAATATTCAATTCTATGGGCCACTGTCTAACCTCTCTGAGGATGATACTTGTAGCCCAGGCCTTGGTGCATAATAGATGCTCAGTTATAATAGCTAATATTCACTGCACACAACAGCACTTAGAAGTTAAGTATGAATAACGCTATTGCTAGTGGTATAAAGTGGGGCTTGAAGAGGCTACGTAGCCACTAACCAGGTGTTGTGAGCCAGGGTTCCGTGGAGCAGTTTCCACCTGGACCTCAGGCTTCTAGAAGCCTGTTCTTATGCATGAATAGTTATGTCTGATCAGGATGCGCTCTCTTTGATCGGATATGCCTGTTTCTCTCCGGTGACCTGAAAAGGTGCAGGCTCAAAATCAGCACCCACACCAAGCATAAGTAGCAGAGTCGGCCCCCAGGCAGTGATAGGATTGGATTTCACATAAAGAACAAAAAAAGGAGTGGAGGATAATCAGAATGTTCTGACATGCTGAACTTGGGGAGGAGGAGAACTGAATCTAAAAATCCCAGCGGGGATGAAGAACATCACGGAACTGGCAGTAGATATGAAGGGCCGCTCTGCAGGGGGACGTGCTGCTGTTAAAGTGAGAGGGTTCAAAGCAGGACTCGGTGATGTGCTGGGTGGGAACTTCAGGATGTATTTTGTGTTCCTTTGGCTCTATCTGCAGCAGAGAGACTCCCAGGTCACCCTAGGTCACAGGGGTTTAGCATGAGGGAATGACAGCCACTCTGCTCTGGTGTCATTTGAGGTGGCCTCTTGCTCTGCTTTCAGAGAGGATAAGTGACTTTTTCGAGGTCACCCAAGTAGCAAGCCACAAAGCCTAGGCTAGTATCCTTTTCTGGGGCCCTGTACCCTTGACCACCTGGTCCTGCCTCACTTTCAAGCAGAAGCCAGAGCCATATTACAAGGTAGTGAGGCTGCTCTTCCCAGAGCGGACAGCAGGGGACAGTATAACTAACCAGCAGGAATTTGAAGTCTGGCCCTCCTCCACCTTAGGCATCGCCCTGAAAAGCATCTGAGAATGTTTGATTTTTACCCTTGTCCTCTAACTGGAAAGGACATGGAAAAAACTAGGAAGAGTGACAGCCTGTGATTACATGGAAGCCATGTTTTGTCCAAACCTGTCAAGTTTGCCTTTCCAAAACCAAAGTCTCCTTTAGGGCAGAGAACACTTCTGACATCTTCATCCCTGAGTTTCAGTGCCTGACATATAGTTGGTGCTCAACAAACACAGTGATGGCCTAAATATCGTTCAGGTTGGTAGGAGGGAAGAGGCCAAAATTCTTCTCAAGAGGTGGGTGCACCCCCTCCCAACCCCATGCTTTTCCACTCAGACATGCCACCCTCAGACAAAGCCTGCCCTGGCACAAGCTGGGATATGGTGGCACATCTGTTGGCCCTATTTACGAGCCCTGGCCCTTGTCACCTGGTTCTTGACTGTGTCCCTCATCAGTGAGGTTGTTGCCCCAAGTGGGAGCATTTTAGGTGCTTACTGAAGGGGGTCCTGGGGATGTCAGAGGGGGAGCTTGCAGAAAGCAGGGGGAGTGAGACTGTCTCAGCCCAAGCCTTTCCCTCCACTTTGGGGTCAAAGGTGCTGGCCAGCCTCCACCTGACTCTAGGTGGCCAGCCACCTCCAGGACTCTAGCCCAATGGACAGCTCCTACAGGACAATGACAGCCCTGTGCTAAGGACAGATGTACCTGCACTGGACCAGCCCCTAGGAGCATATGGTTTCCTCACCACCCATAACATGGTCTAAGAACACTTGCTATAAGGGTGCTGTGGGATGCCAGGGGAGGCAGGAGAGCAGAATGGCACTGGCTTTGGCTTTAGAGTCAATGAGACCAGGCTTGGAGGCCAGTTCTGCTCTTGGCAGCCTCTAGCATAACCTAGGAAAAGCCCACAACCTCTGTGCTTTGGTCTCACCATCTATATGGTGGGGGTGGAACAGCATCGATCTCATGGGCTTTCAGGGACAATTATAAGAGATAATGCAAGGGCACTAGGTGGTCCAGAACAAACCCTCAATACATGACAAATGCCACTTATGTGTCTTTACAGAAGGGCTGGAATGTGGTGTCTGGCGTGTAGTAGATGGCAAACTTGTCTTTGTTGAACACACACAGTGTGTGCACTTAGAACAGTGCCCAGCACACAGGAAGCATAAATCAGTTAGATAACATGGATGTTCAGCTGGAGGAAGAAGGCCTGATCCCCGTCCTTAAGACAGTCCCCGTGTATTTGGTTTTTTGTCTCATTCACCTCCACTAAGTTAGGCCCAGTGTTTGATACCTTTGGCACCTGCAGTATGGCAGCTGGCAGCTCCGGGATGGTGCCTGTCCTCAGGGATTTAACTGTGCAGTAGGGGAAACATATGAGAAAATGGTGCTCTAGGCAGGTCCCCCCCAACATGAACACTGGCACTTACCCTCCCCTCCCCATGGCTCCCTCTCTGCCCCCAGGATCTCCCCACCCGGACTGGCACACCAATGCCAGAGTAAGCTGTGACAGAGCTTACCACATTCAAGACATTCCTCCTGTGCCTAAAACCTCAAGGCTCTCCCAATCTCATGGGGTCCCCACTCTGCATGGGGTGAGGCAGCCCCAGGAACTGGGAAGCAGTCCCACACCTCCTATTAATCCCATGTTAGTCACCCTCCACCTCTGCACCTGCTTCTGTCACATTTACAGGAGCAGCCTACAGCTCTAAGATGTTGAACTTGACTTTTCCACCTTTCACTCCCCAAGTAAACTCCTTGCTTCATTCACACAGGCCCATACTTGACCTCTGGAACACTCTTTGTTCCTCCCCCTACAGCTTTGCTCTTTCCTCTTCCCCAACTTGATCCATTCTTCCCTGCTCCCATCTCTTGAGACCCTTCCCAGGCCCCTTTCTCCAAGACCTTTCATGGCCTCCTTGGGAGTCTCTTCCCCTCCCGAGGGTGAGGACAGTGCCAACTGTTCTCTCCAGCCCATGTTGCCATTCTGAGTATCATATCTGGAGGGACAATTGTAACTTTCCCCATAGGCACTATAAAAATAGGTTGTCCCCAGACTGACCTTCTCATCTCTCTGCTTGCTCCCCAAATCCGCCTCTGTCCCTCAAAACCACTGTTGACTTGGTTCCAGCCTGGAGCCAGGGTGGTCAGCCTGACTCTTCCTTTGCCCTCGTCCATAGACCTTGAACCTGAGTCTTTTAGTTCTACCTCCTAAGTGTCCATTGATTCTACCTGGTCCTGGTGACGCTGGCTTGGTTTGGACTTCCCCTACTCCCGACCCAGATGCAAGTGGCCTCCTAACTAGTCTCTTCAGGTTCCAAAACATCCTCGGTATAGCCCTAGGGGTGGTCCCAGTTGCAAATTTGATGATGACTCCCCTGCCTACAACCTTTATGTGGACAAAGGAGTATCTCCTGCTCTTTGGTTTTTGCTAACAAGGGTCAAGGGCCCACTAGGTACTAGGAGTGCTGCTGATCCTTCAGGGGCAGTTGACATCCCATCTCATTCACCCATTCATTCCATTCATTCAATATGCTGAACACCAGGGACTATGCTAGGCATTTACAGACATTACATAATTTAATACAAACACAATGCTCCAGGGTCACAACTATTATAACTCCCATTTTGCAAGAAAGAAAACAGGCTTAGACAGGAAGTTGCTCAAGAACAAACTCGTGAATTCCTAGAAGCAGGATTCTAAGGACCTTTGACTCACTCCCTGCGGCGGCGGGGCCGGGGTGGGGGAGGCTTTACAGAGAAGGCAGGACCTTGGGGGTAACAGGGAAACTTCTCCCAGCACAGGGCCAGGCTGCCCACTGTCCAGGACCTCTGCATGTGACTCTGGATCAATGAAGGAAGTCCCTGATCCCTCCCCTTCGTCCAGAACTAAGACTAGGGCAGTAAGAAGGAGAGGCCGCTAAGAACAATTTCCCCTTCAGCCCTCAAGCCTCCCTGGTCGCAGCCCCCACCAGGAAGTTTCTCCTTTTCTATCCTGCAGGATGCGGGCAGGCCGGCAGTCCCACCTCCAGGTTATTGGGGGGGGGGGGATAACTCAGAAGGGGATCCACAGAAACACCCCCTCCTCCAGATTTACAGGTGGAAAAACTGAGACCTCTCCTAACATCTTACCCTACAAAAGCCAGAATGAAAACTCAGTTCTCCCGCTCTGATCCAATGCCCTCTCTACTCGTTCTCCCTTGACGCCTTTCCTAAGGATCCCTGACAACTCATGGTTGAGGAGCAAGAAAGAGGCCTTGGTAGTGGCCAGGTACCTGGAGCCCACCAGATGTGTGAATCAGGTGGTCACTTCACTTCTGTGGCCCATGTTGTAAAATGGGTGTAATAATACCAGTCTCACAAGGCTGCTGCTGAGAGTTTATATGAATGATATACATACAAAAAGCATCTGGCACATAGAAGGTGCTCAGCCAGCCTTAAGTCCAAATGTCCTCAAAGAACTTACCGGGGAAAGCATCCTCTCTCATACCCCTACCCGCCACGCCTACACGCACAAAGGGCAAAATGAAAAAAATACTAGAAAAACAGATAAAGGAACATGCTACAGGAATTTCAGGAGGGAGTTTCTTCCCTGTTAGCTGTTTGATTACCCAGACTGCACAAAAGGAAAAGCAAAAATGCGGAGGACAAATGGGAAGACTGCCGATCTGGGTCTCACTCACTGTTCTCTCAATGTTTGGAGCCGATCGTCCCCAAACACAGTGACGTAGCCAAAGGGCTTTTCCAAGAGCCCCAGGATACCGGCTTGCTGGAGGGAGGAGCAGAGAAGGGCGGAGTCGGGGCGGGCAGGAGAACCGTAGGCGGGACCCCCGCGGCCAAACCGGGTGCGGACTACAGCTCCCGGCGTGCCCCGCGCGCAGCACCTGCCCGCCCCCCACTCCGGGCGGAGGATGCAGACGCCCGGCGGGCGATGAGGATGGAGGCCGGGGAGGCAGCGCCGCCGGTGGGGGCGGGCGGCCGCGCCGCAGGTGGCTGGGGCAAGTGGGTGCGGCTCAACGTGGGGGGCACGGTGTTCCTGACCACCCGGCAGACGCTGTGCCGCGAGCAGAAGTCCTTCCTCAGCCGCCTGTGCCAGGGGGAGGAGCTGCAGTCGGACCGGGTGAGGCCCGTGGAGTGGGCGGCCGTCGGGGCCGGGGTCCTCTGCTCTCCCGCGGCGGGGCTGTCCGGCCTTGCCCGCCCGCCGGGCTGGGGACCCGGCTGGGGTAGTTTCAGAGGAACCAGAGGTGGGAAGGACTGGCGGGAGGAAGGAGGGGAAGTGGATCTAAGAGTGAGGGATGTGCTCATTGCTGTGGCAACGGGACAACGCAGGCTGCGGCCATTTGAAGCTTTTGATGACGGCCAGATCGGAGCCTCTTCCCCAACTCTGGGGTCATAGGGAAGAACAGACATGTAGACATTTCCTTCCTTCCCAAAGGGGAAGGAGCTGATGAGCCTGCTTCTTCCCATACTTTGGGGCGTGGGTGGTAGAGGGGTGCAGGGCGGTGGGCTGAGGAGTCCTGAAAACCCTTTGTTCTGGGCTTACTCTGGGGGGAGCGCTGGCCCTACCCCAGGGGCAGGCACCTTTTCTGGGCTCCCATCCTGACTCTGCAGCAAACTGCCTGCATGACCTTGGGTCAGACCCTTCCATGCTTTGGGCTCAGCTTCCTCATCTGTAACCTGGTCTGGAGATGACTCAAGGGTGCTCTGTCCCCAATATCTGGTGACCATCTGATACCATGACCTTGGGCAAGTCCTTTATACTTCTTAATGACTCCCTTCTCTCTGTAGAGTTGTGCTGGTGCCTGCCTGCCTCCCTACAGGCTGTGAGTGTCCAATGAGATAGTAGCTCCTTTGCAAACTTGTAAACATCCCCTGAAAGTCTAGGGAACTAGTGGAGACAGAGGGGCTGGCTTCAGGGGGACACCTTCTAACAGGAACATTCACTAAATCCTGCCTTGGGCCAGGTGCCACTCAGACCTCCTCTCTGGATGCTCACAGTGACCCCTAATTACGGGAGAGAGGGATGATGCTCAGAGAAGCCAAACCATTTGCCCAAGGTCACACAGTCAGGAAAAGGCAGAGGCAAGGTTTGAACCCAGGTCTGTCTGCCCCAGAGCCTTTTGTTCCATCATGTTTCTTTGTTTCAAGGAGGGGTGGACTAGACTCTCCTTCCCCGCAGTCCTTTCTCAGGCCTGTGGTGAGGGTCTACATGCAGAGTTGGGCGGAGGGGAGGCCTCACTCTCCTTTCACTGCCTGTCCCTTCCCTCCGTAGGATGAGACCGGGGCCTACCTCATTGACCGTGACCCCACCTACTTCGGGCCCATTCTGAACTTCCTCCGTCATGGCAAGCTGGTGCTGGACAAGGACATGGCTGAGGAGGGTGAGTTGGTCCATCGGGCTGGCCCAGAGCCCACATACTAGCCCTGTCCTCTGCAGTCTGCCAGGGCTATGGAGGCCCAAAGCCATTTTTCCCAGCCAGGACAGACATCTGCTTTCTCCCGTGTTTCCTTCCTCTTCTGTCTTAGACAGGGCTGACTCCCAAAGCCCCCATGTGGGCTGAGCCTGGGGGCTCTGCCAAGCTGATGGGCCTGAGCTTTCACTGGGTGCTGTGGGGAGAGACACACAGAGGACAGAGGGAGCCAGTGAGGCCCTGCGGCGTCCACTGTGGGCAGGGCTGCCCTTTCTCACACCCAGAGGCTGGGGTAAGAAAGGGAATGAGGTGGAGACAGGCATGAGAAGAGCTATAGCTCTCTTCCTCTGGGAGATCCAGGATCTCAAACTCTGCCTGGTAATGGCTTGCAGCAGCAGGTAGGTGGGGCGGTGACTCTTCCCTAAGTCTGGCAGCCTCTGCAGCACAGTGCCAGTTGTAGGTGGAGGCAGGGGAGGGGCGAGTCTGCTCCCCAGCAGCATTTTGGTCTTTCCCAGGCCTGGGTAGCTGAGGCCTTATAGATCGATGTCCACATCTGGGCCTAGCAGACCATGGGGAATTCATGTCTGAGAGAATGACCACTTAGCAGAGCATCAGCCAAGGGCAAGGACAACAGACAGTGCCAAGTTAACTCTTCCTTGGGGCATAGGATATGTCTGTGGGTCAGCTGACCCAGCCAGGCTAACTTGTACTTGTCATTTCTCCTCTCTGCATCTCCATGATGTCTATAAAATGGGGTCCATGACCTGCATTTTGGAGAGCCTGCTTTGGGATCACAGATGTCATGAGGCCTATGCCCAGCACTTGTGCTTGTGGTGTACTGAGTACAGCCCTTGGCTCCCCACTCTGGGCCATGTTCTCTCCTCCCACTGCCAAGCATCTCCCCAGTAGGTCAGGGCTTTGGCGTCAGAGTCTGCTGTATGTACGTGGCTTTGCAAAGCCCCACAGCTTCCCCCTGCACCCTTAGGGAAGCATAGATACCATGGGTGTGGCCTAGGAGCAGGAACCAGTCCCACAGGGAGGCAAGGTGAATACTCCAGCCACGTCACAGCCAACGCCTGTTTACGGGTTTTGGTTTTCTCAAAGCCCTACTACACCCAGCACCTTCAACAAGGCTAGGGCCCCCATTCAGGGGCATGGGGAATCTGGGGTATCTGTGCCTTCTTGCCCCCATCTGTGAAATGGGGTGACAGTAGCACCCACCACACTAAAATGCTGTGAGCATCAGAGAGCTAGCATAGAGCCGCGTGTAGCTCAGGCCCTGGCCCTGAGGATGTGGGATGTAGTATTAGTTGCCTGCCACCTGCAGGGCTCCACCCAGGGCACTGAGGAGAATTCTGTCACTCAGGCAGCAACACTTACTGACCAACTGTTTTGTGTAAGGTCCTTCGTGGTCACCTGGGACAGACAACAGATCAGAAATGGGCCCCAACCGTGTCAGTTTGGGCTGCTACAACAGTACGATAGACTGGGGGGCTTTATTTCTTACAGTTCTGGAGGCTGGAAGGTCAAGAGCAGAGCACCAGCATGGTGCCATTCTGGTTGCAAACTGTCGACTTCTCATTATATCCTTGTGTGATAGAAAGAAAGAGTCTTAGCTGTTTGGCCTCTTTTTAAAAGGACGCTAATTCCTCAGGCAGCACCTGTGGCTCAAAGGAGTAGGGTGCCAGCCCTATATGGCAGAGGTGGTGGGTTCAAACCCAGTCCCAGCTAAAAACTGCAAAAAAACAACAACAACAACAACAACAACAAAAAGGACACTAATTCCAACCTGGGGACTCCACCCTCTTATCCTAATGATTTCCTTAAGGCCCCACCTTCTTTTTTAACACCATCACCCTAGGGATAGGTTTTTAGCATGTAAATTTCAGGGTGACACCTTCAATCCCCATGGAGCCCAGAGGCCAGTCAAGGAAAGGACTAGACAATCTCCTGCCCTATAGAGTTTAGGGGACCAACCACCTGGGAGCTCATTCCACCTCACTGGTGGGGTGACTTGCTTAATCTCTCAGGTTAATTTAATTGTACAATGGGGACAGTAATACCTCCTTTCCTCATGTCCCCAGGACTTGTGATGAGCACATGAAAGGCTTTGCAGACTAACGGACGGCAGCTGGAGGGTGCACATGCAGGGATTGTGGGGGTCTAGTGGGAAAACATGAGTTGGTAGTCTAAAAAAGTTGTACTTTGCCACTTACTGGCTGTGTGACCTTGGACAAGCCACTTCTCTGTCAAAGCTCCAGTTTCCCCAGTTGTTCAATGCAGATGATGAAAATACCTACTTCTGGCTGTGAAAATGAAATGCTATCAAGGGTGGAATGTGCCTAGACCAGTGCCTGGCACTCAGCAGGTACATGATCAATAGGGTATGTAATAGAGGGTCAGCCAAGGCTCATGGTAACATTCTAGGAATCAGTCCCAGTGAGTCTGCTGTCTCGTGATAGTCCTAAAGCAGCCTAGATTATGGACTGGCAGGTGTCCTTGAGTTCCCATGTACAGCACAGTGGAAGAGACCGAGGCTATGGTGGCATTCATCCTTTCCTTGGGGAGTGTAGGCTTCAGGGGAGGAAGTGCTCCCTCCTGCCTGAGCCCTGAACACACAGATGCTCAGTTCACCCCTCAGGTGTGGCTGGTGCAGGAGGAGGTGGTTTGGGGAGAATGAGGAGTGGGGACGGTAGGAGTGACATAGGACTGTTCTGTCTTTCTCAGGGGTCCTGGAGGAAGCTGAATTCTACAACATCGGCCCACTGATCCGCATCATCAAAGACCGGATGGAAGAGAAGGACTACACGGTCACCCAGGTGGGGCACAGAGGCTAGTGGGGGAGGGCAGGAGGCCAAGCTGGCCTGTAAGGAGAGGGTCAGTTGTTGGTGTTCCAGACTGCACAGTGTGGCCCCAGCCTGGGAGACTTGCTGGGGTTCTGTCCCTGCCTTGGCTGCATTTGCTCTCTCCTCTCTCTGAACCCTGATTTCCTCTTGTAGGATATAGAAGTGTTGAGAGCTGCCATCCGTTCTTCACAGGGGTCAGGGTGGGGATCAGGGGCCTTCAGGGGCAAAGCTGGATGAGTAAATTGTACATTTCATGGGATCAGGCCATCCCCTAATAGGCCTAGCACAAGATATTGGGGCTGGCATTTCTGAACTTGGACCCTGAACCTCTGTGAACAGTGTGCAGGAGGGGGTGGAAGGATTCTCTGCCTACCTCAGGGAGACATTAGCATTGGGGGACAAATAGCACCATCTCCTGACCCCATGTCTCCATGAAGGCCTGACTAGACTGGCAACCCACAGTGTCCTCCGTGTACTGCTCTCTTCCTTCTTGTATCACCTGAGTTCTAGTCCTGGCTCTGCTACCCTTGAGCTGTATGACTTTGTGCAAGTAGGTCAACCTCATTGAAAAACCCCCGTGATCCATAGGGCCCTTAGAAGGGTTAAATGAGACCATGTATGCCCAGCACCTGCTACACAGTGGTGCTTAGGACATGGTTCCCCTCTTCTCTTTAGGTATATTGTTGGGGGGTGGCAGGTGCTTACTCCCTGGGGTGCCTGGTGCTGGTGCCCTCCATGTGACCCTTCTGCCTACAGGTCCCGCCCAAGCACGTATACCGCGTGCTGCAGTGCCAGGAGGAGGAGCTCACACAGATGGTCTCCACCATGTCTGACGGCTGGCGCTTTGAGCAGGTGGGCTGGGGGCACAGGCCCACTGTATGACCTCCCCAACTCCCAGCACAGCAAGCCCCTCCTTTCCTGCAGTCCCAGCCTCTGATTCCCCACCACAGTCCCCACTGGGGTCTTCTTAACTCAAACTAAACGAGGTTAGGAAAGACCACATTCAGCAGCAGATGGACCAAGGAGGAGAGAGGATGGGGGACCCACTTGCCACAGGGTAGCACCTGGGCCCTTGTGGATGGGAGTCCTCACATAGCTGAGCCGTGATCTACATGGTAGCATGTGCTAGTCTCCTAATACTAGGTGACAGATCAGGTGCAAAGAGACCAGATCAACAGGATGAGTGGAGTCCATCTTGAGTTCACACCTCTGTAAGTCTCGAGTCAACACCACACGACTGTAACAATTGCTTAGGCATGTCCAGGGGCCCACCAGGGACGTTCCCAGTTACGAGCATTGCCACATTCAGGGAAGCCCAAGGCAGCAACTTCCCATTCAGTATTTATGGTGCCCTGTGCTTCCTCCCAGTCCAGATGCAGTTTGCCAGTCAGGGGAGACTTTTTTCCTAAGCACAGTTGCCCTAGTGACAAGATGATGTCTCACCCCTTGGGATTTGGAAGGAACAGAGCCAGAAAGTGAACCTAAAGCCTAATTTGCCCTGAGAGAAGGAAAACGATTTGCCTCACCTTTTATCCACAGCTGCCTATAGCTCCCCTACAAGTGGAGACTGAAACAGGCAGAAGGCCAGGCCCCCAGGGAGACCTGGTGGTATGAAAGGTGGAGCCCAGGGCGGGAGCACAGCCCTGGATCCACCTCTAGGCTTCCCCGCTGATAGGCTTGCCACCTTGGACAAGTCAAGTCTCCTCTCTGGGCCTCAGTTTCCTCATCTGTGATGGGGGCTAATAGCCCCTCCCTTATAGGATGGCCGTAAGGATTAGCAGGAAGCCCCTGAAGCCCTTCGCCCTGGATGGGACTCCCTGCATTGACTCTAGTGTTGTGCCAGTGAGTGGAAGTACTGTGTTTAAGTCTGTGAGACTCTCAGAAGGGACTTAGGGTCCCATATTCAATCCCTGTCCCCCGCTATGGGACTCCAGCAGGCCACCACCTCACCAAGCCTTCTCTGCCAAAGGGAGTGACATCTTTCTGCCTGCTATATGAGGTTCTCTGAAGGCTGAATGAGACCTGTCATGTGCAAGGACTTTATTAGCCAGAAAGACCCATTGGTGTGGTTATTCCAGGGACCCCAAAACAAAAATGGGGCCACTCAGAGAACCTTCAGGATTCTTTAACAGTTGCATAAACTCTCAAATTGAGCAAGTCAGGGGCCACTGGTCCTTTGCCCTCTAGCCTGAGGAATAGGCACCGTGCTCCTCTGCTTTCAAGAGTGAAGCGAATGTTCTGTGGGGCTTGTCATGCAATCTTATCCTGGAGCTGCACCAGCCCCCTCTGGGACGAGGGCCCGCCTGCCGTGACAGGCCTCCACCTGCATTTAGACGGAGGCCACCTGGATCTGAGGCTTAGCTGGGGTGGTGGGTGAGGATAGTGGGAATGCTGCCACCCTTTTCCAGGGCTGGGCCAGCCATGCCAGGTGGGGAAAGGCCGGTCCTGGGGAAAAGACGAGAGGTGCAGGTGGGGTGGGGAGAGTACTCTGAAAATTCAGGACAGGGCCCCTGCAGGCAGCAAGGTTAGGACATAAGCTGATATTGATGGGTGCTAAGGTCCACCTCATCCCGTCCCACTGCCCCCCAACCCCAACCTACATCTTTCTCCCCACTTTCTGCCCATCCAGCTGGTGAACATTGGCTCTTCCTACAACTATGGTAGTGAGGACCAGGCAGAGTTCCTGTGCGTGGTGTCCAAGGAGCTCTATAGCTCCCCAAATGGGCCTAGCTCTGAATCCAGCCGCAAAACCAAGGTGAGCCATACCCATCCCAGCCCTGGTCTGGAGAAGGTTCCCTCCTCCCCACCCCCTGCTTCCCCTACCCCCACAACATCCTGCCACCTTCTTTCTCCCTCCCGCTGCACATGCATAACCCCATGGTCACAGCTGATGCCATTCATCCCATGCCACTGCGGTCCTGTCTGCTCATGCTGTTACCCAGGCCCAGGCTGGGGAGCAATGAGATGGGACCATCCTGAGGGCCTTCCCAGTGTGGATTCAGATGCCACTTGAATGAGGGCCATACCATGGCCACCGGTTGCTATGGCATAAGGGGGAATGGGGAGTACACTGAACTAGGGGTCATGGGCAGTGTGACATCTTCTGTGTGACCTTAGACAAGGCTTCCCTCTCTTGGCACCTTCGTTTAGTTCTCTGTGACGTGAGAAGGACTACATATTCTCTGTAGTGCCTTCAAGCTTGGAACTTCTGGGATCCCCAATGGCCAATTTATTTCCCAGGGTGGGTGAATGTCCCTAGCTGGGCTGGGCTGGTGCAGGGAAGCAGAATGTTTCCCAGGCGCCTTGGGTGCTCTGCCAGACGTTGGTCAGGAGCCCTGTGGAGTCCAACCTGTGTTGCCCCCTGGCCTGTGAGGAACCTCCCAGAGCACTCTTGGCGGCATATGCCCACTGAGAGGAAGGGGTCGACCAGGGGTCCTGCCTGCTGCCCTGGACCTGGAACTGGTCAGACACCCTGGGCCTTGGACAGGGCCAGCAGCGCAGGCATAGGCCAAGTTGGGAAGAAGACTGTTCCTTCTGGGGACTTGTCCCTTTATGGTGGAGACTTAGGAACTACAGCTTCCTGTCTGTCTGTCTGCCTCCCTGTCCTGCTGTGACTTTCCTGTCCACCCCACCACACTGGTGCCAGTGGCTGGCGCTGCCTTGCAAGGGTGCAGTGTGAGCCCTCTGCCTCTCTGAGCCAAAGCCCCCAGACCTGAGGTGCCAGACTATGATTGGCATCCCAGATCTAGTGGTATCTGCCCTGGGGCTTCCTTGGCCACATTTCTGCTCAGGATCAGTCCTCCAGGCACCCCTCTGGGATGCCCCAGTCCTGTGCCCGTGCCCGCCCTGTCTGCTACAAGCCCTCATCCCAGCCTCTCTCTGTAGCTACAGCCAGACCAATCCCTGAGCTTCTCTGCAGGGCCTTCCCCTACTGCCCTGGGGACTGGAGAAGGTGCCCCAGCTTCTTTGCCTGGAACCCTCTTCCCTGCTGAGGCCCTCCTTCATCTTGCCTGAGATCGGGACCGCTGGGGACAGCAGCCAGCAGGCCCTGGCCCCCTTGTTAGTGTCTCCACTCTTTTTTCCCTGGGTCCGCCGGCTGGTCACAGAGCGCAGAGGAGCAGCTGGAAGAGCAGCGGCAGCAGGAGGAGGAGGTGGAGGTGCAGGTGGAACAGGTGCAGGTGGAGGCAGATACCCAGGAGAAAGGTGCAGCCAACCCCCAGGAGAAGGATTGCTAATCAGAGCCGGAGCCTCCTGCCCAGTCCCGTGGAGCCAGCTGCAGACCCGGACCCTGGGGCTGGGGGGCGGGCCCACCAGGGTTAGCTCAGCCACTTGCCTGGCGCCTCACCTGCATAACCATCCCTTCTCTCACTTTCTCTTTGCAGCCCAGTCATCTCAGGATCCCGCTAACCTTTTCTCCCTCCCACCACCACCGCCTCCTCCTCCTCCTCCGCTTCCTGCTGGAGGTCCTGCCTCATCTTCATCCACCTCCTCTTCCTCCTGGATCTCATCTGCACCCTGCCTCTTCCCTCTCTGCCCCTGTCCGGGTTTTCTCTCTGCCTGCTCACGCCTCCCTCCTGGGGCTGCCCTGGTCCCAGCCTCCTGTGCCCTTCACCCAGGCCCCCTGGCCCTGCATCCCAGAGCATCTTGCCTGCCGCCTCCTGCGCCCCTTCCAGCACCTCCTGTCTCCCAGCCTAGGGAGGGGGAGTGCAGCTGCACCTCCTCTCTGCCCACCAACCCTGCTGGGCACCTCTGAGGCTGGGCCTCTGCAGGCCCTGCCCTATCCTGCCCCGTCGCCTCCTCACGTTTCCTCCTTGCAGGTTCCCGTCTGCACCCTCTCAGACCTGAGGCCGAGCTTGCAGTGAGGGCTTCTCCCTGGCCCCTCGCCCGCCCCCAGAGCTGCCACCCCTGGTTTGTAGCTTGGTGGAGCTGGAGAGGGGGGCGGAAGTGAGGAGGGTGCTCATCTCTTGTTCTTTGGATTTGAGCCGAGCTTTTGGCTGATTTTCTCCACCCACCAAAGTTTCTCAACTGATCTTGGCCTTGGGGGCGAGGCTCTGAGAGAAGAAAGTTAAGGGGTGGGAACTCTGCCCTCCCACCTGCCAGTCAGCACCCGGAGCCAGGCTGGGGAGGAGGGAAGGAAAGCTGGAGCCAGAAGCCTCGGCCTCCTCCCTGCGTGTCCAGGAGCTCCCGCCTCACTGCCCTTGGCCCTGAGTTCCCTTGTTTCGTGGGGATGAGGAGGACAGGCCACATTTGGATACCCTTGGCCTATGAGGAGTCAGCCAGAGCCAGCTAAGGATTGCAATGTGGCAGAAAAAGCCCTGGCCAGGTGCCCACAAGCCCCTACTCAACCATATCTGCCTGCTGTGTGACCTTGGGCAAATCACTGTCCCTCTATGGGCCATAGTTGCCTCTGAAATGGGAACAGACAACTGCTCTTTGTGACTCCTTTTTGCCTGGGGCAGCAGTAACCTGCCTCTCCTGGCCCTGACCCCCTGGTCAGAGTCTTGGCAGAATCTGGCCATCCCTAGGCAGATTCCACATGGGGCCTAGGGCTCCTGGACGGGTTGGTTGGGGTACCCTTCCTCCTCTCCTTCTCAGTTCTGAACCCGCCTTCTCTGGGCCTCAGCCCTACTCCCTCCTTCAGAGGGAGCCTGTGACTCACCTGCCTTTCTCTCTCCCTCTCTCCCCACCCTCCATTTCAATCTCCTCTCTGCATCACCCCCTCCTCACTGGCCCGTTCCCTCCCATCTTCCTGCCCTTTTCCCTCCTCTCTTATTTTCTAGCTGTTACAAGCCAGAGGCACCCGGATGTGAGGCCCCAGATCACCTCCAGGGACTTGGGGTTCCCATCTGAAATCCTTTATTTTTGTTCTACGGGGTGGGCTCCTGGCCTGAGATGGAAGAAGCACTCTCCCCGCTGCCACCTCTGTCTGCACCTGTGGGGCTGTGATGTACCCCTACCTCCGGGGCCGGGCTGGGGGCCCACTAGGCCCTCTCAAGGCCTGAGGTGGGCCCTGGGACCCCTGGGCGGAGCCATCTGCCCCTGGCCAAAGTGTGGCACTGTCCAGCTGAATCTCCCAGGCCCCCGTGTCCCTTCCCCCAGGCCGCCCTGCTGCATGGCAGATGTGCTCCCCCCTGCCTGGTCACATCACCTCCTTGAGCCTTAGTCATCCAGTGGGGTGACTCCTTTTACCCCACCCACCTCATAGGGTTGTGCTTAGGGCACAAAGAGGAACAAGACCCCCGGGAGCCCTGGAAAGTGTCCCTTTACCTCCCTGTGGACGGGGAGGGCCTAGCCTAACCTCCAGGCAGCGCACTGGGTTTGCGACTGGAGGATCATGGCTTGGTGGGGGTGAAGCCTGTGAGGGTTTGGCTCTGTGAGAGGAGGGATGGGTGACTTGGCCTTCAATTTGGCTGTTCCCCCCTGTCCCACCAGCCATCTACATCTCTGGTAGAGTGCCCTGGTCTGAGTAGGGGGTGGAGGGAGAAGTGACTGGGCAGGGGCCATGGATCCACTCAGGAACTTGTATAGGGAAGGGGACACTCCCTCTGCTCAGGGGAGGGGCTGGGTGCCATGGGGCTGAGCAAGGGGCCCCTCCTATGTTAGGCCTCCCAGGATGGGCACAGGCTTCTCATCTGACCCCAACATGTAATAAAACCTGAAGAAACAGCCCTGGCAGCTGCCTCACTCTCTGTCTCTGGGCCACTTTGGGGATAGGGGCTAAATTTAAGGTGAGGTAGACTTGACCCACAGGAATAGGATTGCAGCCCGGGGACCCTCCTCTGCTGTCACTTTCCTATATGGGGGAGGAGGCTGGGGGACCCTCTAGGTCCTCTGCCCTGTGGCCACATACCTGGCTGCCTCTGGGAGCCAGGAAGTGAGAGCTCTGGGCAGAGGCCCAGGCGGCCTCCACTGCATCCTAACTCCTGGGATGCCCCCTCCACTTCCTGCTCTGACACCACTGGGCCACCTCTAGCCTCCCTGCTGCTGCCAGCCTTCTGCCCTAAGTGCCACCCAGATCCTCCGTTCTACCCTGAGTCTGCTAGAACCTCGGCCTTCTCTTCCCTGCCCAGCCAGGACCCCAGCCCCTCCTCCCCTCCTGGCCACTTCCTTCACCTCCCTGGTCCTCCCAGCTCCTGGGGGAATCCCTGCCAGGCAGCGCCCCCAAAGGTAATGGCCCTTCGTGGATGGGGCAGGGCACGTCCCCTGAGGACACTTCACTCCTAAAGGTGACCTCACTTTTTGTGTCCAACTTTGCTCAGAAGAGTCACCAGGAGGCTTGTTCAAAGAATACATTACCCTGGGTGGCACCTATGGCTCGTGGGTAGGGTACTGGCCCCATATACTGAGGCTGGTGGGTTCGAACCCAGCCCCAGCCAAATGGCAACAAAAAAATAGCTCAGCATTGTGGCAGATGCCTGTAGTACCAGCTACTCAGGAGGCTGAGGCAAGAGGATTGCCTAAGCCCGGGAGTTGGAGGTTGCTATGAGCTGTGACTCCATAGCACTCTACCAAGGGTGACAAAGTGAGACTCTGTCTCTAAAAAAAAAAAAAAAAAATAGAATACATTACCCCTCCTTCCCACCAGGATTCTGATTAACCAAGACTGGGGAGGGGCCTAGGAATCTGCATTTCAGCCAAGCACCCAAGGTGATTCCAGCTGTGTTCTGCCCACCCCCACTGAGGCCTGTGGACTGCATGGACCGGAATGCTTTAGCTCCCTGCCTGCCCAACTGCCTCATTCCCTCCAGGCAGGACCCCACCTCCCCTTCTGCCTTACCTATCTACAAACAGGGCAGTGGTTCCCCTTCTCCAGTGTGTGTCCCCCTCAGAGGCACCCTCTCTCCCTTCTCCCAGTTAGGTTTCAAGAAAGAGTTGTCCACACTTGTCTCTCCCACATCCCAGCTCCAGCTGTTCTCCTGGCTCCATCACCACTGCCCCCAGGGGTCCTGGTGACCCTATGTCCTGAACAGCTTGGCCCAGCCCCACACAGTCCTTCCTGGAGCTCCCACCACACTGGTGTCATGGGGATCCACTATGTTACTCGTCTGCTAGAGCCTTCCTTTTTTTTTTTTTCTTTTTGAGACAGTCTCACTATGTCGCCCTCAGTAGAGTGCTGTGGCATCACAATTCACAGCAACCTCAAACTATTGGGCTTAAGAGATTCTTTTGCCTTAGCCTCCCAAGTAGCTGGGACTACAGGCGCCCACCACAACACCAGGCTATTTTTTTTTTTTTTGTAGTTGTCTTTGTTGTTTATCAGGCCTGGGTTGGGTTTAAACCCGCCAGCCTCGGTGCATATGGCCAGCCCCGTAACCACTGTGCTATGGGTGCCAAGCTATGAATTCCTCTTCAGTCTTTCCCCTCCCAGCCTCTTCTGAAGAACGTGTGGCTTGCTGTTGCCTTATATGCCACGTTCTTTTGGGACTCTGTGCTTTTGCACATGCTCTTCCCCTGTCTAGAATGCCCTTCCCCTCCTTGGCCACCTGTAAAGCCCGGCTCTGGTCTCACACACTCCAGGCAGCCTTTGCTGGCATTCCTGGTTATCTGATATTCATAGCCCTATCCACTAGCTCATCAGCCCCACTGCTTCTGAGGTCAGGGGCCTTGTTGGGCTCATCTCTGTGGCCTACACAGACTTTGGTTCATAGTAGGAGCCCATGAAATGCTTTGCTCAATAGAAGGCAAAGGGGGTGGGTGTCATGCTGGAGGGAACCAGGAGGTCCCCATCACCTCTACTCCTAGCCCCTAGTGCCAGTGTGAGAATGCCTTTGCCCCTCTCCCAGCCTGTTTCCTCCCAAGGTTTCAGAAGAAGCCTATCACTTGGACTGTCCCTCACTCTGACCTGAGGATCCCATTGCCTTCTTGGGGTTTCTCCTGGGACCTGGGCAGCTGCCTTGGAGCCTCCAGCTCTCAGTGGCCACACCTGCCTCCACTGATCCACTCAGCTTTGTTGAACAGGCTGAGCAGGAAGCAGGGTCAGCTTTAGTTAAGGGCATGAAGCTGGTGCCAGCTCCCCATTCAAACCCCAACAGCAGGAACTTGGGTCAGGCATCTTTATTTCATAGGGCAGCTGAGCTCATCTCACTGCCAGGAGAGGGTCTGGACAGTGAAAGCCCGGCTGGCAGGAAGGGGTAGGGCAAACACCCTGGAGCCGGGGCTTCCCCACCCTTTGGCTTACAGACACTGGCCAACCTGGCAGTCTCCGGGGCTCTGAGGGCCCCTCCTATGGAGCACCTTCCACTCCCACCTCCCAAGTTAGACCTGGGGTTTCACAGGCTGGAATCTGCTCTCCTGAGCCAAGGCTGCCCCAGCAGCCTCTGCACTGGGGAGAGGCTTCTCATCAGACACCCTGCTGAGAACCTGGAAGCCAGCATTATTGCTGCTGAACCAGGAATGGGACGGAGGAGAGAGAATTGGGAGACAAAGGGCTGGATGTGAACCCCTTCAGCTGGGCCTGGTGGGCCTGGTTCCAGGGGGTCGTTTTGACCACCAGTGGAGGGCCTTGCTCCTTCCTCCTGCCATCACTGGCAAACATTAGGGAGTGGGTTGAGGGCAGGATGCCACCTCCTGCCTCCATAGGGCCTGCCTGCCCATGTCTGGTGCGTGCCCTGGGCTCTGAGTCCAGCAGATAGGCCCCAGCTCTGCAGAGGCAGCTCCTCAGGTGAGTGCCTGCTGGATCCAGCTGATCACACCTGTGATGCGGGTGTAGACGCCAAAGTAGTTGGGTCGACCGCAGCCTAGGCCCCAGCTGACCAGTCCCGCCAGGAACCAGCGGCCACTGGGTGCCTTACACACCAATGGGCCACCCGAGTCACCCTGAAACGGGGAGAGAAGACCCAGGGCTGCATCAGGGTAAGGGCACCCCCCCCCCTGCTGGATAAGGCGACATGGGGGTTCAAGTTCTGACTGTTGGGAATTTGCTGGATGCCAGAAAGTCATATCCCCTCTCGCAGCTCTGCTTTCCTCACACCTGCTAAGGAGACAAAGCAGGCCCTGCCTGGCCTCCAGTGGGTCCTGCTCTTGTAGAACTGTGGCTGTGAGTCCCCACGCCCCCACGCCACCTCTGCCTGCCTTCTGTGGCTGACAGCCCTCCAATCCTCCCCACATCCACCTTGCTGTGCAAGGAGCAGAACTGGGTTGGACCACCATGAAGTCTCTTCTGAGCTCAACCTGAGTCCAGTTCCCTCGTTTGTAAAGTGAGCTTAGCCTTCGTCGCCACCTAGCTGGGAGGCTGGCAGGCTTCAGTAGGCTTATGTGAGTGAAGAACTGGGTCCTGGGTGATGTTTCCCTCTCTCCCACCTCTCTCTTATGCCCTGAGGGAGTCACCTGGCAAGCATCCTTCTTGCCCTTGAGGTAGCCGGCACATAGCATTCGAGGTGTCACCTGATAGCGGTAGGCTTCACTGCACAAGTCCTGCGGGATCAACTGCACATCCACCTTCTGTAGCGCATTGCTGGTGGGGCCTGCCATGGGGTCAAAGGCGAAGGTGAGAAGATCTGGGATCCCTGGGAGCACCCAGGAGCTCTTCTCACCCCGTACCTACTAGGAGTAGTGCCTGCCCCTCCACATCAGTCACCCTGTCTTGGCTCCTTCTCTGCATGGCTCATGGTGACAGAGCCCCCAGCCTCCTTGCCCCTCCTTCCTGCTCTAGTGTCTCTGGGCTCCTGTAACCCTCTGCTCCTAGGGATGTTTCCAAAGTACACATCTGACCCCTTCACGGCCCCTTTAAAACTCTAGCGGTGCCCACTGTCTAGCCCAGTTCATCTCTGAGAGGGCTGCATATCACAATCCCCTGGGGGGCTTTAATGCACACCAGCACCTGCCTGAACCCAGAGATCTGACCTCTTTCATCTGAGGCAGCCCAGGCATCAGGGTATTTTTTGAAGCCACGCCAGTGGTTCTGAAGTGCAGGTGGAAGGAGAACTCCTGGCCCAAGATTCTTACAGAGCCTGCAAGGCCCTGCCTGTCCTACCTGCCATCCCTCAGCCAGGTGCTCTGCCCCTACCCTGCCTCCCCTCTGCAGGCCGCTGATGTTCTCAGGTCTCCCAGTCTCGACACCTGTGCCTTCCTAGGGGACACCTTTCCCCTTTATCTGGATGCTGTGACTCATCTTCCAAGCCCAAGCTTAGCCCCTCCCTGACCCCACCAGGGTAGGAGCCTCCTCTGTGCTGCCACTGTCCCCTGTACCTCCTCATCCATGTCAGTGCTTATCACTATCTGTCTCCCCCAAGAATATTTTTTTTTGAGACAGTCTCACTATGCACTCTCGGTAGAGTCCTGTGATGTCACAGCTCACCTCAACCTCTAACTCTTGGGCTTAAGCGATCCTCTTGCCTCAGCCTCCCAAGTAGCTGGGACTACAGGCACCCACCACAACACCCGGCTACTTTTTTGTTGTAGTTGTCATTATTGTCTACCAGGCCCTGGGCTGGGTTTGAACTCGCCAGCCCTGGTGTATATGGCTGGCATCCTAACCACTGAACTGTGGGCACCGAGCCCCCCAAGAATATTCTGTTGTCATCTATATACCCCTTATTGCTTAACTCGATGCCTGGTCTATAGTAGGTGTTGTTGAATGAACGAATAAGTGAGTGAACCAACCCTTGCTTTGCCATGACTCTTGTCATTCTCTTGGACAAATCACTTTTCCTCTCAGTCTCCCCATCTTTAAAATTCCTGTATGGTCCTGCCTGCCTCCAAGACTGTAAATCATTGTACACATATTTAAAGCTACCCCATGAAGTTTGCAGGGCATGGGTGTACTTATGCCTTCTGGGCCTGTATTCACTGGACTGCTAGGTACCTCCAGGGACAGCTGGCTCTGGTCAGCTAAGATGGAAAGGGGAGAGATCCCTTGTTTCTGAGAGCTAGAGCAGAAAGAGCTTGGGCTCTGGAGGCAGGCAGTCCTGGGTTCCAGTCTCTGTCCCAGTGTTCTCTGGGGGTATGACTTTGAGTTGCTAAATGTCTCTAAGCCTCGGTTTCTCCATCTCACAAAATGGAGCGTAATACTCACGCCAGGGTTATTGGGTAGACTATATGAAATCATGTTCCCCTGAAATCCAGCCTCCATGTGGAAAGTGCTAAAGTAATTAAGAGCTTCTATTCTCTCTGCCCAAAGAGCAGAGGGTCAGAACTTGTGCTTGAGTAGTGGAGTCCCTGGCTTGCCCCGTTACCCCACACATGTGTCTGCGACCTCAGTTCTTCTTAAATGCCCTTCCAGAAGGAAGGGAAGAGCCTGGAGGATAGATGGCAGAGGCCTACAGACCATACTAAAAGGAGATTTTCTTCTGTCAAATTTAACTCTGTGGAATTCCAGGACTAAGAGGGCCGGGAGTCGCCCCGATCCCTGCCCACCTTCCTCCAGGCCTGTTGCACCCTGTATCCCCCACCACGGGTCCCCCTGCTCACCGCCCTCGCGCAGGGCGCCCCAGCCCGTGATCCAGCAGTGCAGGCCGGGCTCAAAGAAGTGAGAACGTGCGGGCAGGCAGACGGGGCGGACGGCGGCCGAGCGCACCACGGGGTGGTCGAGCTGCAGCAGCGCCACGTCGTAGTCGTGGCTGTCCTCTTCGTGGTACGGGTGCAGGAGCAGGCGGCTCACCTTGAAGGACACCTCGCCAGGCCAGCGCGAGCTCTGCCACACCTTGCCCAGGAACACGGTCCACAGTGTCGGGGAGGCCATGCTGGGGGCGGGGCGAGAGGAAGGTGTCCTGCTCTGCGGCTGCCTCTGCCCTCCTGGACCCTCGCTGCAGCCAGTTCCCTGCCTGGGTCGCGGTCCTCCACACTCACCCATCCCACCCCAGGACCCGCAGCTGGAGGCACAGCGTTCAGTGTCGGCCCTGGAGTCTGCCTGCCTGGGTCTAACCCCAGCCTCCTGCCGCCTTAGATACGTGTCCCTCTAGGCCTCCCTCTCTGCTATCTGTGAAATGGGAGTAGCATTTTCTACTCATATGATCTTGGGGATAAGATTGTGTATGTAAAAAATTTGGCACAGTGCCCGAACAAATATATATATATTTGTGTATGTATATATAAATAATTTTTTCCCCTGTGCGCTTTACAGGCTGGGACTGCTCTGAGCTCTCTAATAGGGAGTGGGTGGAAGCTGAGTGAGGGGCGGAGCCAGGAGGGATCCAGCAGTCTAGATGTCCCATCCTGGGCCTTGATTCCTTTCTTTACCTGAGGGCAGTGGGGAGCCGGGGATGGGGTTATAGAATGCAGCGGTTTGGCCTCTAGCAGAAGATGCAAAAGGGAGGTGGCCTCGGCTGGGGGCAGGCTCTGGAGCCCAGATTTGGCGGAAGGGTGAGAGGGTTTCAGCCCACCAGATGGGGAAGATGTCCACAGGGTTGGTGATGTCCCCTGGAACTTCCCTGGCCCTGCCCACCACCACTGTCACAGCTCAGTCACACCTGGGGGAGCCTGCTCATGACCAGGCTGTGCAGTTCTGTCCTTCACTGTATCCCCAGCGCCTGGCACAGCCCCTTGCACGTAGTAGAACAACAGATATTGCTGAATAAATGAATGAGTAAATGAATGAATCACTGACCCACTAGAAGCAAGATACCAAAAGTAGTTCACAGAGAGGTTGAGCAATCTGTCCAGGAACACAGTACACTCACCGTGGAGCCAGGACTAGACCCCTCGTCCTGCTAGCCAGTCTGAGGGCTCTTCATCCCCCTTCATCTGTCTGCGAAGGGCTCAGACACGCACCTCCCACCTGGCCTTCCCTGCCCACATCTCACAATCTAGGCCCTGCGCCCCGCTCACCTGTCCTCCTGGAAGCAGTGGGCAGCTGTTATCACCCAGCGGTCAGCGATGAGGGCCCCCCCACAGATGTGTCGACCCCGGACCTGGAGGCTGGCCTGCCATGGCCATTCACCCTCGGAGGACACAGCCCCACCCACGATGCGGGTGGAGGGGCCCTGGAGGCCACAATCTGGGGTAGGGATAGGGGTGGACAGAGGAGGAAACGGGGAAAGGCCAGTGAGACACCGACAGAGAGAGACAGAGGAAAAGCAAAGGAAAGGGAAGAGAAAGGGACAGTCAAGGCCAAGGCAAGGAGGCAGAGGCCAAGATAGAGAGAGACAGATGGACAAATGTTGAAATTTCCCGCCAGCCTTCCCCTGCAGCCCCTCTCTCCCCCCAGGCTTCAGTCTGGGATGGCTGGGCCCACTCACCACATTGCTGCTCATCAGAGCCATCCCTGCAGTCGGGCTGCCCATCACACTGGGGGTTTGGCTTCTTCACACAGCTTTGGTCCTCACACTGGAAGGTGAATGTCCCACAGGGCACCCCTGGGGTGGAGGGGTGGAGGGCATAGAAGGTGGGTCTCTGAGCCCCAAGGAAAGATGGAGCCAAAGAGGCCAGGAGGTGACAGATAGGGAGGGGTCCCTTGATCACACTGAAGCCAGCCATGTCCCTCTACTCAGACAGGGTGTTGAGAACAAGGCTGTGTCTCCCTCTCAGACTGGGGTTCCTGACATCTGTGCCTCCCCAGCCTACATGGACCTTGAAGACAGAACCGGGCCTCCACTTACAAAGTAGGGTCCTCCAAGCAGGGCCATGTCTCCTGGTTGACTAAGTCTCCCCACTTAGCCTGACAGTCCCCTGCTCTGGCCCTGCACTGCTACCTACCTTGTCCCTGCTTTTACCATAAGGTACTTTCTGTATCAGCCTGGTCTTTGCCTGGTCTCCTTTCCCCTGCCTATTTACATTTCATCTCTGATCAAGCCCTAGTTAAAAGCCTGCTTCCTGTAGGAAGCTCTCCATGCCTGACGTCCTCCCTGCCCCCCAGTCTCTCCACACCACTGGACATAATGTTCAGAAGGCTCTGGTTCAGGAGAGTCTCCCATCACATCTTCCTGATAACAGGAGCCCTGTGGAGGGCAGGAACCACATCTTTGTGTCTCTATTCCTATTTCCTCAGCCTACCTTGCCTATCCCTGGGTAATCTGCCTGTATTTGGTGAGTTGGATGGAAGGATGGATGTATGGATGGGTGCATAGGACAATAGACCTAGGCAGAAATACAGCCATTGGTGGATTGATGAGGCAGGGAAAACTGACAAGCAGCTAAAAGGATGGATAAATGAGTGGATGTAAGGACCAGTGGACATACAGGTGCTAGGGAGATCAACAAATGGAAGGATGAATGAAGAACAGACAGATGGGTAGGTGGTCAAACCAATATATAGGTAGATTGATAGTTGAATGGGTAAGGGGGCCAATGATTGGACACATCCAGTGGATGGATAGATGAATGAATGGACATATGAATCAATGGAGACAGGGCAATCGGGGAGACCAGAAGGACAGAAGGATGGATGAGTACGCAGATGCAGGCACAGAGGGGTTGCCTAAGAGGCAGAAGAGGCACACAGCAGGGCCACCTACCTTCCTGGCACTGCTGCTCATCGCTGCCATTGAAACAATCAGAACGCCCGTCACAGACCCGGGACAATGAGATGCACGTGCTGTCCTCTCGGCACTGGAATGTGGCTCTGCAAACTGTAGGGGAGACACAGGAGGGGGAGGCGGGTGGGACCTGAGATGGCTGTGGAAGGCATAGTGTAGGGCCCTCTACCCATCACAGATCTCTTCCTCAGCTATTTGACACCTGAGTGTCACAGCAACCCTGTGCGATACCCCATTTCATTGGTAGAAACAGAGATGAAGTGACTTCCAAGGTCATTTGGCTGAGCCAGAACTTGAGGCGAGACATTCAGTTTCCAAATACAAGGCACCCTCCTCAGCACCTTGGCAGGATCCTCCCGGGGCAGACATATCTCCTTCCCCCCTCACTTCTCTTCCCACAGATTTAAAACTTTGTCAAGCAGGGAAGGGGGACGTCTCCTGTCTGAGTGGTGACTCTGGGGTCAGAAGCCAGGACTCAGAGGGAAAGTGTAATTCCAAGAGAGTTCTAGGTTAGGGGACCACCAGGAGCCTGAGCAGCTTCTTCCAGGGCTGAGCGGTGGTAACAGCAACTCCAGTAAAAGCTGGCAACTCCCAGTCTGAGCCCTGGCAGTGGAGGGAGGAAGGCCCCATTCAAGGGAGGGAGATAAAGGATTCTCTCCTTGGCCATCTGGGCCTGCCATCTCTCCTCCTCCCCTACTCTCTTCCTTCTTAGAAGGCTGGACAGGATAGAAGGCAGGGAGTGGTCACCTGGTGGGAAGAAGCCCTGAGGTGCTGTCTGGAGACCAGGGTACCTCCTTGTCCCTGCCACTGCTCCCATAGGGTGGTCCTGGGAGGCCGCTTTCCCATTCTGTGCTTTATTGTGCCATCTCAGCACAGCAGAGGACCCCACTTCCTAAGTGCTGATAGCTCAGCTCCCCAGGGAAGGTGAGGACAGGGGAGGGACAAGTGGGTTGCTCACCGCAGTTTCTCTCATCCAGGCCATTGGGGCAGTCCTTGATCCCGTCACAGGCAGGGACACAGAGTCCATTCACAGAGCAGAGGAACTCTCCAGGGCAGGCTGGGAAACCACAGGCGACAGTGGAGACAAGGAGGATACCGTTAGGACACACATGTGTAATGGTGAAAATGCATGAAGAGGCATCAGCACCTGTGTGCTTACACGTGTGTGATCAGGTACCCACAGATACCTGTCTCTGGGCACCTGTGTACACAGTCCACTCAGACATACATATATGTGAGTGTAAGCCGACCTCCTTGCACACATGTTCACACACCAACCTGCATGTGTTTGGCACGTGCGCACACACACTCTCTCACTCCTTTGGTCCAGCCCCTTAAGCAGCTGCCAATGAGCCCTGTGGTTCCAGGAATGGCTGAGTGGCAGGGAGACACTGCAGGGGGTTCAGGAGGCATCCGGCAGCCCATACTCACGGTCCGACTGGTTGTACAAGCCGTAGTGCACCTGCACGCCAGGCCCGGTGAGGGAGATCTGGGAGGTGAAGTTGATGGTGATGCCAGCCGTGGCCACCACGGGGATCCTCTCAGCATAGGGCTGCAGGGTGCGGAGGCCACACAGCCTGGGGGTGATTAGAAATGACTCAGGGCCACACCAGCTCATCTCCCAGCCCAAGAGAAGGCACAGCCTGAGTCCTTGTGCACAGACAGAGCAAGGATGGGGCAGCCAAAGGGGAACAAAGAGCTCACCCTGCTCCCACACTTCCTCTGTCTTTGTTTCTCCTTTGAGTGACTGCTCATCCCCAGTTATCTTTTAGAAAGCAGGCTGGCTATGCTATGCCCCTGCTCAAAAACCTTCAGTGGCTCCCTATTTCCTATGGGATAAAAATCCAAAGTCTGGATTCTAGTCCCAGTCACCTAGGAAACCATGAGATTCTAGCAGGCCAGGGGCCTTCTTGGAGCCTCACTTTTCTCTTGCATAAAACAGGGGAAATTATTATTTCTGTTAATCATAAACATGAGAAAAAGTTTCCATGTGTCAGCAGTGCCTTTGACCAGCCCACTCTCAGTAGATAAGAGAGGTTATTCTTCTTGTGCTCAAGGTGGGATGGGGGGGACGGGCAGCAGTGCTTCTATTGGGGCTCTGTCCCTCCTGCTGAGACACTGCCTCAGCCCTGGTGGTCTCCCTGTGACCCACTGGGCTTGAGGGAAGGACCTTCTCCTGGGGCCAATAGCACAGAGCTGATAGGCAGCATCTTCTCCAGGTGTGCCCCCCACTACGGGAGCACCCTCCCATCCCTGCTGAGTGATGCCTCCCTATACCACCAAGATACTCTATTTAAACAGAGCAGGTGGGGAACATCCACAGAGAGGCAGAGCCTTTCTTTCCTACCCAGAGAATAGGTAGGAGTCATTCCACCTCTGGGTGGAGGGCTCAGGGGCTCCTTCCACAGAAAATCTGGGTGCTCCTTCCACCTCACCAATGAGCAGGTGGGCATGCCTTCACAGAGTGTGTACCAGCTCTCCCCCAGAACAGCGGGACCCTCCCCACACAGTAGCTGGGACTTCCCTTCCATCTCAGGTGGGACATCCTTGCAGAACAGATGGGGACATCTTCATCAGCTCATAGGAATGCCCCCCACAGGGAAAGGAACACCCCACAGAAATAGGAACAACTTGGCAGATGGAGAGACAGAGAGAGGTGAAGATGCCCTCAGCAGAGAAAGTGGAAGGAAATCAAGAGAGCAGGGAGGAATCTCCCCAAATCTCTGTGGGAACACCCCACAATAAGTGCAGCCCCCCCACAGAGCAGGCCACCTAATTCTCTGGGGCGCAGCACTTCTCCAGAACATCTAGAACAGGGCAAAGACTTGACAGTTTGATGAGTTAGTCAACAAACAATTGCGGATGAGCCCTGTGGTGGTTTTGACCATTTAAGGTGTGGGGCTGGGACCGGGCCTCTGGTCTGACCCTTCTCTCATTGGCAGCAGCTTCACAAGACCTCACTCCACAGGATTCTGCGGTTCATGTGGCAGCTCCACACAGTGAGGGAGGAATCATTCCCATCACATTTTATAGATGAAGTTCATGAGCCAAGGTAGGGCAAGAATCTAGCCTTCAGATACAGAACTCACCCAGCCTGTTCAGTGGGGGACCCCCGATGATTGCCACTGCACCAAGAGCTCTGGGATCTGAACTCCCTCATACCCCACAAGTGCCCCAAGGCCTAGCCAGGAATCTTGCGTAGATCTGTCTGGCCACAGTGACAACATCCTTGTCCTTATGTTAATCAGCAGGTCTCAAAGTGCAGTCCAGGGACCCCTGAAGGCCCCGGATTCATTTTCCTAATAAAATAATACTAAGATGTCATTTGCCCGTCTTCTCTCACAAGGATACAGTGGAATCTTCCAGAGACTATATTCATTAAAGATACACAAGAAAGTAAGTCAACAATACTCTTGTCACTAAATATTTTTAGTTTTGGAAAATGTAATTAATTTTCATAGAATATTATTTATGTTAAAATGTAATGGGCTTATGATTATAGTGAAATAATAAATGTTTTTACATTTTCCAGGTTTTAAACCAAAAAATCCATAAGAAGTAAAAGAAAATAAAGTTGTAAGGAGAAAAACAAAAACAAGAAATAAATTTTCCCTATTTTAACTCCTAATACTGTAAATATAGGTATATAACCTATATAAACAAGCACTCTTTAGGGTGCTGAGTAATTTTGAAGAGACTCAGGACACCCTGAGAAAGAACAGCTGCCCCATGCCACGATTCCTGCCGCCCTCATGGGCCCAGGGTAGGAGAGCCACCACCAGGGGGTGCCCCGGAGCAAGCCTGGCCCCTCTTGCCCTTTAAATCTAAGGAAGTGTGGGGTTTGTTGTTGGAGGAAAACAGTCCTTGATAACTTCAAAGAAAGAACTGGCCCCAGGAAGTGGGGGCAGGGCTCTGGACTGGGAAAGTGGGAAGGGCTGGGGGTGGGAAATGAGGAGCCAGCGCATCAGGGACTTTTGGTGTGTTCCCACACTGTCACAGAAACTGTAGAGAGACAGGGAAGGGATCAGAGGGAGTGGAAGGGAGAAGAACGCTTCAACCTAGCAGAAACTGCCTGGAGGGCTGCGTTGTCACCCTGAGCCTTCGGGCAGGGACTCTAAGGCCCCAACACTTGCCAACAGGAGACTCTGTCTGTTGGGTTCTGGGAAGAACACCAGAACCAAGGCTCAACCTGTCCAGCCTGGGTAGCTTTTGGTTCTCTCTCTGGAGGCCTGGGGGCAGGGCGGAGGGGATGGAATTCCTGGGGTAAGCCTTGCTTTTGTGGGGGCCACACAAGAATTCAAGGCAGCAGCTGCAATCTAGTGATTCAATCTGAGTCACTCAACTTAAAGATGATCTGTTTAGTCTATGCAGTGCTAAAAAAAATTATGTTTAATTTAGTTTCCAGCTAATTTCACATAATAATCTAGATTCCTGCTCTTCCTAAAAAATAAGCAGCCCTGAAAACACTGGCAGGGCACATGGTGCCTTCCCCCTCCCTGCCCTCCCCATGGAGCTGCTCTGGGAGGAGGTTGGAGCTGGCCTGGCCCCTTCCCCATCTAAGTTTCTGGTTCCTGCTGCAGAGACTTCTGGGGGAGGGTCACACCCTTTGATTCTCCAACCCCTCCCATCTACCAAGTGCTCCCCCAGGCTCTCCCCAAGAAGACCAGCTGTCTGATGGCTGTGATGCCCACCCACTTGTCTCAGCTGCCAAGTGTGGAGTGGCTGAAGGCACACTTTCTCACCATGTGGCCTGTCTTGCTTTCCCACCTCTTGGATTTGGGGGGATATTTCTTCCTGGCATCTCCCAGGTAGTAAGTAGGGACCCTGTCAACCTTCCTGCATATCAGCAAGTCCACCTGGAGGAATTTGAGAAGTACTGAATGGATGGATGGACAGACGGACGTAAGAGTAAGTGGAGGGATGGACGCACGCCTGAATGCCCTTTCCTCAGGACAGGCTGAACTGGAAGAAGGACCAGAGAAGGATAGTGCCAAAGAAGAGAGGGGAGAGAACAGCATCCAACATGGTGGCCAGAGAAATGGACCTGCAATTACAGAGCTGAGTTTGAGGCCCAGCTTTGCCACAGGTATACACTGTGTGAAGTTGGGCATGTGGCTTTACCTCAGCCAGCTTCAATTTCCAGGTATGTAAAATGGGGCAATCATGTCTTCCCCCTAGGGTGTTTTAGGGTGTACATAAGAACACGACTGCTTTGAAAGCACATTGCTGATGCTGTCAGGTCGTGAGCTCACCTGGTTCCAGCTGCTACATGGCCAGCCCCAGGACAAGGTCAGCACTGCCAGTGCCCAGTGAGCGTCTATGCTCTAGGCAGTGCTGGCCACTAGGACCTCTGGAAGGACAAGGACCAACCCACAGCCCAGGTCAGGCCAGAGAGGGAGCCTGTGATTCTGCCTGTCCTCGTTGGCCAGGAATGAGTGGAAATGGTGGGGTGGATCACAAGAGAAGTGATGTCACAGGAGAGGAAGCTGGCGGGAGGCGGGTTCCCAGAAAGGGGGAAACCTGAGCTGCGGTGGCGCCCTGTGAGTAGCTTCTGAGACATTAAGAGCTGACGGCCAGATCTCTTGAGGCCAAGTCTCCCCACTGTGTCCAGACCACTCCAGGGCATGAGGCCTCAGCCAGGGTCCCGTGGGCACAGAGAAGAGCTGGGTAGAAAACAGAGAGGTCAGGGTGGGGACAGGCATGAAGGGCTCAGAGGAGTTGGGTGACATGCCCGAGGGTGTCCAGCTAGCAGTAGGCACCCAGGCCCTTTCCTGGTTCCTGTGCAGTCACCTAAGGGTTAAGACACCCTCTCTCCTAAAACCCCATGCCCCAAAGTTTACCCTTCCCCAGACCTCTCAAGTCTTTGCCACCCACACAAGCAGATTTCCAACAAATGCTCCTTCACAGAATTTCCCAGTATCTACGGAAGATGATCATTATCAAAAGGGTGATGACTAGAGGAAACGGCTGGCCCAGTGCTCATGGCCTGCAGCTGCCACCTCCGCCTTCCCTGCCACCCTCAGCCATGTCTTGGAGAGGGAGAGAAAGCGATTATCGCCCTGAAGACCCCAGACTGTTAAAGAAGGTCTGAGATGACAAGGCTGGGACTACCCAGGCTGCTGTCGGAGCTGGTGGGAGAGCCACAGAAACCATCGTTTCTCCTGCCAGGACGCGGATGGGCTGGTTAGAATGGCTGAGTTAACAGCTGGCATGGCTGCTCAGAGACTCTGGGGGAGGAATCCACGTGAGTGTGAGCACTGTACTCACGTACATGCAGACGCACGTGTACATACACTTGTGGACACACAGACATGGTGGGAAAAATGGGTCCTATCGGCCTCACCCACCCATCTCGGGCTATACCCCAAAGTCCATCCCACCACTTAAAAGTGGAAAAGACAGGGTGAGAGTCCCAGTCCTTAGCCCTCTCTAGCCTCAGTTTCCCTTTTTGTACAATGGGTGAGGGTTGGGCATTGTGACCAGTCCCACACACTCTGTACTCAGTGGTGCCTAGAGACACTAGGGAGACCCCTCCAAACCATCACGGCATCATCCTTTCTGAGACTATCTCCATCCATGCTCCATGTATAAAACACCCTCTGTCATTACCCAAGGGCAGCTCATGGAGTCCCTAGTGCCCTAGTACCCAGACCCCTGCCCAAATTCTCCCGGCTGCATCAGAGGGAAGGGAAGAGGGCTGTCCTCTGGGGAGCACGGTGTGGCCAGTCCTGTGTCCTGCTGTTTATGGTTAGTGATGGGGATGGGAGACACCCTGCTTGTGGACTCACCTTTATGCCACCTAATTTCCCTGAGCCTTCATTCACTTCTGTGGGACAGAAACAATGTCATTGACCACCCAGGTTTGGGGCCAGTGAATTGAATGCTCCATGCTGCTGTGCCCGTGGCCCTGGGGCCTGGCCTCTGGTGGGGCAAGAGCGGGGGCGTCAGACCCAAGACTTCTCGATCTCCTTCCTAAGACTCCCCGAGATATCAAATTCAGCTCTATATTGGGGGGAGGTGATAGGAACACATGTTATCATTCACAGAAATGTGAATCATGGTTTAATCTCAGGGTCACCCCGCGGGCTGCTGAGGCTGAGGGGGCGGACTCAGCCATCCTAGGCAGAGAGCAAGGGGCCCTAAGAGAACGAATGAGGGATCTGGGCAGCCAGGCCATGAAATGCCCCCTCGTGTGCTAGGTGCTTTCGCTCCTAGCAAAGACTTGATGTCACACCACAAGCTTGTCACCCTCTCAACAGCACAGGCCTGAAGTCACATCACCAGCTTGTCACCACCCCCCAACAGCACAGGTCTGAAGTCACAACTTGGCTACTTCTCCTTCCTCTTAATCACAGTCCTTGATAAATTGCAAAGTTTTTGAGAGGGAACAAGAATGAAGCAAACGTTGTCAATCTCTGTCATCTTTTATCTGGATGATCCTTTGGAATAAGATCAACCAACAAGCAAATTATAAGTCTTGGAGAATTGGAACAGAAACCCCAGAATTGAATAGTTTTAGAACTTTCCAATTCTAGCACCTTCTGATGTTGGAATCTTGAATGCTCAAAACCATGAAGCCAAGAAAGGAAGCACGTTGCAGCCCAGAATTCAGCCTCCCAGTGCCCAGAATCCAGGGTTGAGAGGGAGGGCAGGGCCCAACCTGCTGTTAGATGTGGGATCTCTTCTTAGCCTGCCTATCCAAATGGCCCTTCTCACCCTGGACTACAAGTGAGCACAGTTCTCTCTGGCCTGAAGATAGATCTGACTTCAAGATCCCTCCTCTCTCCCCAAACCTCTGCATCCAACAATAGAGCCACAGGAGGGGCTCCCTCTGTTCCCTGTGCCTGGTCCCCCTCTCCCCGGACCTCCCCATGGGTGTTGCCACCTGCACCTGCACCCCTCTCTCTGTGGGAAGCCCCAGTACAGCATATAAACACGGAGCCTCCTCCATCTTAAATGTCCCTTCCTTGAAGCTGTCAGGACAACCCAGAAGGTGTCTGCCAATCCTCATGCTACTGCCCAAACCCCGGTCTTGGCTGACCCTGGGGATGGCTCCTTACTCTGCTTGTCCCCACCATCTCCTATCCATCCTGCCCTGCAGGGATGCGGGGACCCAGCATGCCCCTGATAACCACCTTCCCTGTAGAAGCAGCTGGGGGAGCACAAGTGGCCCTCTGGCTGTGCAGTGAGCAGGGGTTGGGGACAAGTGCCCCTGCCATACTCTGTGGTTTTAAGGGCAAGGCACTCAGGCATCTGTGAGTCCAAGACTCCCACATCATCTCAGTTAAGGATCTGGGGTGCACCCAAGGAAATGGGACCATTTGCTCTGAGCAGGATCAACATCCAAAGTGTCTGGTGACCAAGTATGTGTCTGAGACTTTTGGAGCAGGAGGAGTGGAGGCTGGGACCGGGGCCAGGACAGGGGCTGGTGCTGCCCCTTTGAAGTCTGAGGCTTGGGCTCCCAAGGGGGTAGCTGTAGGGGAAGAAAGAGAGAATCAGGGTCCTGAGGGGTGGGTACCTCCTGTTCTGGATTGTCCACTGGCCCTGGGTACACGGTAAGTCATATTTCTGTCTCCGTAGTGCATAGGCATCAAACCAGAGGGCCAAGCCATAGTCCAGGGAGGGGACCTAGGAGGAAGGAGCAGGTCATCCTGTGGTATGTGAGTGTGGACAGTTTGGGGGTCCAGCTCCCCAGGCAAAACAGGAAGAAGGAAGCCTACTGACACAGAAACCCTGCTGGGCCCAAGGTCTATCAGTCACTCAACAAACAGGCATTGCATGGCCCACAGAGGAAGAAGGCCTCAGCCATACCCACTACCTACCGTGGCAGGATTTGCACCCAGGGGTCAGTCTGTGGGTGCTTCAGCAGGAGCAGGACACTGTGACTCTCCCCTCCCATCCCAGGGCCCCAGAGGTCCATGGGGTGCTTCGGCCCAAGGGCAGGCAGGCTGGGGGCTCACCGTGAGGTGCCAAGAGCAGTGGGTGCTGGGTGAGTAGTAGCTGGGGAAGTATGGGGTGCTGAGGACACCCTGTGGCTCCAGCCGGCCCTCCAACGTCAAGTTCACCTCACAGCCTAAGCCAGAGAGAGGCAGTTACCAGGGTCTCTGGGCCCCGCCCAGGCTGTACCTCCCACTAGTAACCCCACCTCCCTAACACCACTATCAGTAAGGCCCAGTGGTTGAGTGTGGTTGGGTGAACTCAGGCCTCAGTTTTGTCATCTGTAAAATGACAGTACAGATGCCAATAGCCTGGCATATAGTAAGTGCTCACTAAATGCTCGCTATTGACAATGGCATAGCACTCAATAGCATACAGAATGCATTCACAACTGTACAAGCCCCGCAGTTATGGTGGATGGGGCTCAGAATTGTTTCCTTTTTTTTTTTTTTTTTTGAGATAGAAGCTCACTATGTGGTCCTTAGTAGAGTGCCATGACGTCACAGCTCACAGCAACCTCAAACTCTTGGACTTAAGTGATTCTCTTGTCTTAGCCTCCTGAGTAGCTGAGGCTACAGGTGCATACCACACGCCTGGCTATTTTTTGGTTGCAGCTGTCATTGTTATTTAGCAGGCCCAGGCCAGGCTGAACCCGCCAGCCTCCGTGTATGTGGCTAGCGCCCTACTCACTGAGCTAGGGCACCAAGCCGATTTGTTCCCTTTTTCAAGATGGGTTTCAGAAAAGAGGAGTGACATGTTGGGGTCACATAGGGGAGACTAAGGGGCTGAGGGCCTAGGTCATTGCGGGAGACATTGGGGCAACCCAGGAGAGGGAGGGGACACCGAGCAAAAGGAGCAGAGTTGGGGGAGAAGCAGCCCCTACGTGCCGTCCTCCCTTCCTGCCCTGGCAGGGCTGACCTGGAGTGTGGGGCAAGTTGGGCTTCCTGGGAAAGAGGGAGGGGAGGGAGACCAGAGGCCTTGGCCTTTCCTACTGCGTCACTGCCCCTCCCTAAGCGCCTCACACCCTGACCTCGGCTATGAGACGATTGTCTGGGGCTGAATGTGACAAGTTCTCAGGCCTTCCGCAAACAGACCCAGGTTCTGGGCTCAGCTGGCCCTGGATGTAGAGGGAGAGGCCAGGAAAGGAGCCAGGGAGGGGACGCAGGCCCAGGATGAGAGGAAAGAGAAACCCCAGAATCAGGAGAAAGAGGAGTGAGAGTTGAGGGAGTGGCGAGAGAGGAAGGGCCAAAGAAGGAGATGGAGATGGAAGTGAGAAGGGCAGAAGGAAAAGGCCCGGGATGCTGGGAGGAGAGCAGAGGGGCTTCCAGAGCCCTCCTCATCCCCATCCCACCCCAGCTAGAGCAGAGAAGGTGAAGGGGGAGCCCTGGGGAGGACCCTGAGGTTCTCCCACTCCTCCTCCCCTGCCCTAGGAACTCCACCCACTCACCCCGGAAGGCCACGGGCTGTACAGAGAGCACAAAGGGGTCATAGTAGCTATGTAGGCCCTTCTTCCAGACCACCGCCATGATGGCACCCGATGCCAGGACCTCCACCACGGGCTCCTGGCGGCTGCAGCCGTAGACCCTATGGAACAGAAAAGGGTGACAAGGGTGGGCCTGGGTCTGGGAGGGACATGGGTTCTGGCAGGAAGCGTGGTAGAGTGGCTGCCAGAGGGACAGAGGAGGGTGGATAGGAGTCTGCGCACCTGGATTCCGGGCTTGGGTCTGCTACTAGACTGCTGTGTGTCCAGGCAGGTGTCTACCCTTTTCTGGCCCCAGGGACTGACTGAAAGCCCTCCAAGGACCAGTCCAGCTTCTCAGGTAAAAGAGGTAGGAGGTCACCCCCCCACACACACTTTTGCAGCTTACAGTTCAACTATGGCATCTGGCTGCAGACCCACAGCACCCCCATTACACCCCTCTGAATAACCTGTGACCTGCGTGCTCCTGGCAGGGAGATTAGGTAAGGGCCACCCCCTCCAGCTGCTCACACCCCAACTCCTCGTCTTACTTGAAGCTGAGATAGGGAGAAAGCAGGTATGTTGTCTGGTGACCTCCAGGGTACCCCAGGAATCTACCCACATAGTTAAAGTCAGGTGAAGGTCCCACCTCCTCTGCCTTCCCATCACCACCATGTCCCCACCCTACTCCCTAGCATATCTCTGGGGTACTTGTTTGAGGAACCCCTCAGTCTTATTTGACCAGTCATTTTAGACCTTCTCCAGAGGTCCATGACCAGTGAGCTGCTGGGTGCCACAGTGAACAGTGGTAGAGCAGGGCCTGGCAGCCAGGTCCCCTCCCTAACAGCAGGCTTGGAGCACTCAGAGAAGCCCCAGGGGAAGTCCCTGAGCATCCCCACCTTCCCCAGACTTGGAAGTCAGAGGTGTGCATCTTCTCTGCGCTTCCCAGAGCCCTCCAGGAACTCAGCCCACGCACGCCCCAGATTGAGGTCAGCACACAGCAGGGCAGCAGGAGGGGTGCAGATGAGTGAGCAGCCCTGGGGGAGGAGGAGGGTGCCCTTGATCTGAACACTCTGCTCAGGTCCCACCCCCATCTGTCTAGGAGCTGGCAGTGAGACAAAAGAGGCATCTGCCTGGCGCCTGGCACAAGGTAAAATGAGAGCTGCCCACCCCACAGGTTCCCCCTGGACCTCCTACAGAGCCTCCCCCCAGTCTGTGGGGGGCGCCGTGGCTAGGCTCCTGGAGGCCAAGGCCACTTACCCTCCCTCTTTGCTGCCTGTCTTCTGATTCTGGTCACTTCTCTACTTCACACTAGGATCTTGCCCTAAAACCCTGATTCTCTGCTCAAGAACTTTTAATAGCTCCCTATTTAACAAATATCAAATTGCTCCTGCCACTCAATCCCTTCTGTGGCCCAGTCCTAGGAAGACTATATATAATGATAGGAATAATGGGTGGCATTTACTATGTGTGAAGAGCATGGCACAGAGAGTCTGGATTACATCCTCCAATAACCCTCCAAGGTAAGCATGATTGTCCACCCATTTTACAGGTGAGAAAATTGACACTCAGGGAGGCAAAGTGACTTGACTTAGGCCACACAGCTAGGAATCCACAGAGTGGAGGTTGGAAGTCCAGGTTGCTGCCAAACTCTGAAACATTCTGACAAACCTTCTTGTCTCCCAGAGCTGAACCTCAAATGCTTTGTTACAGACAGGGAAATGGAGGCTCAGAGAGGGGGAGGGACTATCCACAGTCCACGACCATTGCTAGCCCCCTCTCCCTATCCCTCTAGGCTAGCTGCCCTTTAGCCATCCTGTCTCCCAGATACCCAGGCCCAGGGTCACACAGCCCCTGTCTCAGACTCTGGGTGTGATCTTTGACCCTCACATCACCCATGCCCTTTCCAATGCTCCCCCCACCCACCTTGCCAGGGACTCACGAGGTGATGAGCCTCCTCTCCAGGGGTCCAGCTGCATCAAACATCGCCAAGCGGTCCCGGCACTCAGCCAGTGTCCACTCCAGCCGGAGTTTAAGCATGAGATCCTTGGGGCCCTGCAGGTGCCACAGGCAGCTGGAGGCCAGTTGGTCGGGACCCTTCAGCCGGAGGACCTGGCCCAGGCTCACATAGCTGTATCGATAACAGCCTGGAGAGGGGAGAGGGGCAGACCCCCTGACTCTCATGAGCTAGAAGGAGAGGTCGGGGGGAGCCAAGCCTACTAGATCCTCCCAGGCTGGGAGGGGGCAGGGGAGGAGCCCAAGGGGACAGCCAGACATGCTCTGTCCGTCTATCTTTTTCCCTGCTGCTTCCCCTGTCCAGGCTCCTCATTCACTCATTGGTTCCATCATACACTCACTGAACAAACACCCTCTGAGCTCTCCATGCCAGGTGAGTGCCCAGATAAAGGTTCAGTTGCTGCCTGGGAATGTGGAGAACAGCGGGGACAGATACAGAAACTGGCAAGAATAGCTCAGGAAGTGAGGGGTCCAAATGCCACCCTGAGGGTCATGGAGCAAGATGCCAGGTGAACAGGGGAGCTTTGAGGACTCTGAGCCCAGGAAACGGGCAGTCAGAGGGCAAGCTGGAGACAGGAAGGTGGAGCCCAGATCACACCCAGGACAGGCAGTACTTTCTCCTGCGGCCATAGGGAGCCATGGAAGGTTAGGCAGGGCTGGGGCATGCTCTGGCTGTTCACAGACTCCTCTGGCTGGGAGCAACACTGGAGAGGCTGGGAGACAACTGAGCTGACTGTGACGAGTGTTTCACTTCTGGGAGAGAGGTGGGCGTGCACCCAGAAGGGGTCTAGGAGGCAGCCCCAGGGGAGAACGTGCGCTTTGAGCTAATGATGATGGGACCCCAAGAAGAAAACAGGCTGTGCTGTTCAAGCATTTGCTACATGGTGGGCACTTAGCCGAATGCTTCACAAGTGATATCTCCCTGCTCACGACAGCTCCGTGAGAAGAAGGTTTCTATTATTGTGCCCATTTTCATGACCTGGGCTGGGCAGATCTGGATTCACCTAATCACCACCTAATCTTTCCCGGACCTTAGAATGGGGGCAATAACGCTACCCTTGCATAAGCCTTAGGGATGATGTTTGCTCAGGATAGGGCCTCACATAGTAGGAACGCATAAGGCAGTGACTATTCTTCGGGTGGGCATCAGAGGGAAAAGGTGGGGCTGGCGAGAAAGTCCTATGACCGTTCACCCTGCAACTGACCCTGTTTGAGGCCCTGACCTGGCCTGTCTCATGGCTGTCTCACCTGAGGCCTCCTTCCCCATCTCCCCAACCAACCACCAGGGAGCCTCCTCTCAATCTACTCCCTGAGCTTTGATGCGCTGCAGATGGAACTTGCAAGCAGTACCTCCCACATCATGGTTCATTCATTCTTAACTGTTGTGGAGCAGCTGCTGGGTGTTTGATCTAGGCACCAGGGTCCAGCAGTGGACACATCCTCTCTCACGGCCCACACAGTATCTCATTCAAACCTCCCCATAAGCCTGTGAAGCGGGGAGGTTGGGTGTTCTACCACGAAGCAGTAGGGATTGAGGCACGAACCAGGGACGTGGGAGGCAGCCCGGTGACTCCAAATTACAAAACCCAAGTTTTCAGTTATTTCCTCTGCTTTTAAAATGTCTTCTGTGAAAGGTCACAGATAAGCAAAGGTCTCTTCTGTCAGCTTGGTCAGCCTGTGGGCTTCCCCCAGGGCTAGCCATCTGCTGGGCTCTGGTGGGGGTTAAGAGGGAGGAAACTGGAACTGACAGGTGGCCCTTCATCACCCCACACCACTGCCCATCAGACACAATAATAATAATCCCTGTCCCCTCCCTTCTCTGGGTGTTCTGAGGACCCAGAATGTAATGGGGGTGAGCGTGCTTTGCTCTGGGGCTGCTGCCTGTTGGTCTGCTTATTCCCAGCCGGCCATCCTGACTGCAGCCGGGAGCTGACCTTCCCAGGGAGAGACCTCTGATACCTGCGGAAAGGGTCAGGGCTTCTAATACCTGCCTCCACCAGCAGCTGGGGAAGGGGGCCTGGCTGCTTCTAGGGGCTATGTTCTTTAAATTATGCTCCAAGGTAATGCTTTGCTCTTGCTATTTTAGTAAAATTTTTGAGGCTAATTAAGTGGAGAGGTTTATTCTAATCTCTCTTCTTGGTCAGAAACATGTTTGGGGGGCGGCGCCTGTGGCTCAAAGGAGTAGAGTGCTGGCCCCATATACCGGAGATGGTGGGTTCAAACCCAGCCCCAGCCAAAAACTGCAAAAAAAAAAAAAAAGAAAGAAACATGTTTGGGGGACCTGGCACTGGAAAAGAGGAGGGGTGTGTCTGGTGCATTCTCTCCAGACATGTGCGCAAACCATTCCCCCTACCCAGGGTGCCCTTTTCCCTGATCACCCTGACACAGTCCCATCTACCCTCATGCCTGAGTCTGACACTGCCTCCACAAAGTCTTCCTGTATCCCCAAGTCAGGAGCAACTCCTTTATCCCTCGCTCCACAGTGCTCTGTGCTGAGTCCTTAAAAGAATCTTCCTGCTTTGGATCACAGCCCCAGGTGGCCATCTCTGTCCCCAGGGTGGGATGAGTCTCTCTCTCCATTGCCTCTGGGGCCTCTTTTCTCAAAAGGGCACTTGGAATATAAGAATCTGTTTATGTGTCTATCTCCCTCAGGGGGCTCAGAACTCCTCTGAGGGCAGGGGTGAGGACATGGTCACCCCGGCATCCTTAGTGCAGGCGTGGAGGAAATGGTGCTCAAAATGTCCACTTAAAGGACGTGAGTTATCATTTCTGTGCCTCAGACTCTGCTCCTGGAGAGCAGGGCTCTGGACACACACCGAACCAAACACTGATAGTTACAGAGCAATGGGGACACAGGGACACAGGGTGCGGACACACGTGCAGGCCAGGGTAACACGTGTACCCTTGCAGGGTGCAGTCACACGTGGGCATATGCACACATGCGGACACAGTGGTAGCACCAATTCCTCAGGAGGTCCAGCCAGGCCAGGCGTGGGCAGCGCAGTGGTGGTGCCACCCTAACTAGGTGTGGGGCCGTCTTCTCCCCTTATCCCCCACTGGGGCCCAGCAGGTAGCTAGATCTGGGGCAGCCTGAAGGTTGACAAGCTGATAGGGGCCTTTGCTCCTCTGTGAACTTCCAGGAAAGGCAATTTAAAGCAGAGAGAGCCAGACCTTGAGAAGATAAAGGTGTGCCCAGAGTCAAGCTGGGAGAGAGGGCAGAGCTTAGGGAGTTTGCTTGCTTGTAGTTTTCACTATCAAGACAGCCTTTCCCACCCAAACCTCAGCTCATCTCCTGGGGCTGCAGAACGAAATGCAGATTTTGGAACAGCATAGGTTCTACATTTGATTTACTTTCCATAGGGTTCCTGGGAGCCCCCGTGTTTGAGAACCACTGCTATAAACCACAGAGTTTCCCCACAGGGGGAAAGGCCCAAAGTTCTAAAAGCCATCCCCAAAAAATGGTTCAAAACTCAGAAATAAAGCGAGACTACTGTACTAAGAGCCATTTCAATCCCATGCTAGAGTAGGGGTTGTCAATAGGGTGCCCCAGAGGGGCCCTGAGACCCTTTCAAGGGGACCTCAAGGTCAAAACTATTGTCACCCCAAGACTAAGGGATGTTCCTGTTTGCCTTTTGTACACAGTGGAGTTTTCCAAGGCCGAGTGGCCTGTGGCATCAGAACACACAGAATTCAGAAGCAGATGTGAGCACCCAGCTGTCCCTTAGTAAGCTAGGCACCAGAGAGACACACAAAAATGTGCGATGGTGCCGGTCTTCAAAAGGTATTTTTATTTTTTGGAAAATGATTATTTATTAAAAAAATTATGTTAATAATGAAAGGTTTATTATTGTTTTAAAAATAGATACAATGAATGAATTTTTAATTTAATTCATTGATAATTTAATTTATGTATTGGTTTTTAATTTTTGCAGCTTTAATTTCTAGGGTAAATATGGAGATCTACAATTCACATGTAAGTTCTTCGGGAGTCCTCAACCATTTCCAGAAGGACCAAGGAGTCCTGAGACCAAAACGTTTGAGAGGCATTGCCCTGGATCAGGGGTCAGCAAACTTCTGTAAGTGGCCAGATACTAAATATTTTAGGCTTTGGGATTTAAGAGGCAAAATGGATTTATGGGTAATTTCGTTAATGAGAGAAAAAAGAAATTTCCATAGGATTTGTTTCAATCATTTAAAAATGTAAAAATCATTCTTAGCTCCCGGTTCCATAGAAAATCCGGAAGTAGTGGGCAAGACTTGGTGTTGCCGGGTGTACCTCTAACTTACTCTTGATTTCCAAGTCCCAGACTCTAGAGTTAGATGTTAATGAAAGGATGGTTTGGGTCTTGATAGGGATGTAAGAGAAAAATTATGAACTCATAATTTTTTCAGTACGGGCTAAAAATCAAGCACGCCCCCTCTCTCTCTGATCTGGGCCTCTCTTGCGAGCAGGCACCCTGTGGAGTTCTGTTTTCACAAACCACTGAAAAGAGCAGATGGAAAGGAAATGTGAATCTTTCTTTTTGCATCCACCAGCTCACTACTTTTGAGAACGTGTTTCTCAGGCTTGGAGCTCCTGGACAAACAATAGGGTGTGAGTGCCGGTTCTCAGGACCAGAAAACCAGTGAGAAATCTCCAGTGGCAAGACAGCTGCCTGTCACCAGCCGCTAAGAAAACGGGAATGATGGAGCACTTTTATACTCTCCTATGAATTTGGCTACAATGAGTTTTTTTCTTTGTCCCCCTTAAATTCACATGCCACTTGACCTCAGGGCTGGCATTTTTCCCCCCTTCTGTGTGATGCCAGGCTGTCTTCCTGTTCTCTTTTCTTTCTCTTTCCCTACTCCCTCAGTCTCTCTCTCCTTCTAAGGAGATAAAATAAATGTATACTTTTGAAATCTTAATCTTCTCCTCCATGCTGTGAGCACCTACTAAGCTTTCCACTCTACCAGTTACAGTTCACTTTTAGAAGACTAATAAAGCTATAAATTATTTTGGTTCTCTAGAAAAGATAACACCAAAGGTTAGAGTTTCATTGCCCGGTAGGTAGGACACTAGCCAGCTTCATATCTCAGTTGGTAATCTTACTCCAACAATTCCTTTTATCCACTACAGATAGATGATAGATAGAGGATAGATCAGTTTCTCGTGTTCTTTACCATCCCACTGGCTCCCTCGTTAATGGACTAAATAAACTTTTGACACATGCTCACTTTATCTTTGTATGAGAATCATGGTTTTGACTTTTTGAAAATTGACTTGGACATCATCACCTCCACTCACCGAGGAAGTAAGCATCTGATCAGCGGGTTGGGAAGAGAGAAAGGTCAGAAAGAGTGTAACTAGGATTTACACTCTAACTCCCTTCCCAAGAAGAGGTTGAGGTGCTCACTCCCACGAAGTATCTGGGGAGACTTAGTGTAGGAGAAATCTGAGAATTCAGGGGCTTGTTCTCTGGTTCTTAGGGTACAGTAGCCTAGGTGGTGCACTGCACAACTCTAGACATTGCCAGTCCCACAGACTACAATGTGAACATCGCCTCCTGGCATTGTGCAGAAAGGTAGCTCTGCTGGATGTTTTGCTTCTCAGGGCTCAACAGAAGACCATGGGATCTCCTGGAGAAGGGCAAGGGACTCTAACAAGGTGGCACCAGGTGGGAAGGGAGGGCCAATTAGCCTAGCTGAGAAGGGAGTATGGAGGGAGTATTCCTGAGTGCAACAGAATTATTACCTCCAAAAGACCAAGTTTTAAACCCAAAATGACTGATACACCTTGAGTCAGCAAGATAATTTTCTACGATCAGTGGAAATGGTGGCTTGTGGGCAAGTTGAATCAAGCGATAGACAAGCAAAGTCACGTTATGTGTGACTGAATCTGCAACTCGCCTCACGCCTACCCAGGCAACAAATGCACACCCATCTACGAGACACACACACATACCCACGTGCACAGCACCACCTCCCCTGCTCCCACAGGCCCCACACCTTGCTCAGGACCTGTCTTCCAGCCTGCCATGGCACCTCCTGGGAACCTCCAGGCCAGGGCTCCCTGCACCCTCTATAGGAGCCATGTAGCCCCCCCGACTCTCAGCCAAGCCAAGAAAAACACCAACTCAAAAGGAAAATGAGGAGAAACATAAAAGTCTCATACCCAGCGTGGAATTCAGTGCAACTATATCTTTCACGCTGGCTTCTGTCAAAAGGAAATGAACAGACAAATAAACAAGGACAAAATGAATAAAAATAAACTGCAAAAAAATACAAAAATAGAGGAGACTATTAGAGCTGGCCTTGTCTGAGATTTACCCTAGATGTCCCTGCCCCACCCTTCAGTCCTGGCTCTGGGTCACTGGGGAGCCCACCCTGAGTGCCTCCCAGCCCCGGCAGGTGGCTTTCCCAGGCCCTGCCCTCATCTCATCTCCCCCAGCCTGGCCAGGCTGACCCCACATTCCCCTCCCAGTACTGACCCAGGATGACCAGGCCCTCAGGGTCCACCTCGTACTCAGCCCTGTAGCGGGCAGGGGCCGAGCTGTTGGCCGTGGACAGCAGCTCCTCCACCAGCAGCGCCTGCACCACCTCGGGGCCCAGCATTGGCCGGCGGTGCTCGGGGATTTGGAGAATGAACCAGAAGAAGCAGGTGAGGGGTCCCTCCCTAAGACAGGCAGAAGTGAGAGGGGCCAGGGAAGAAGCCTGAAGTCTGGCCTCCGCCCAGCCCCAGGTCCAGTCGGGGAAAAACAACGGAGGCCCCATGCACGCTGGAAGCTCACTACATTCCAGACAGTACTCTCCCCCTTCCTGTGCAACCTCTGAGAAAGGTGCTTTCACCATCCCCATCTTACAGGTGAGGAAACTGAGGCACAGGAGGTTGGGTTGTGTGCCACAGTCAATGCCATAAGTGGTGGGACCACTTGCTCTTAATTCTTCCCAGCCCTGTGTGGCCTCATGGCCTCACCTAATGCGTGCCTGGCCCTTGATTAGCATGTCACAGTCATCATCTAGTATAACCCTGCCACACCCATTCTACAGATGAAGAAACCAAGCTGAGTAAAGGGAGGTCACATGCAAGATGCCAGTTTCCTTGTCCGTGCCTTAGTTCCCCCATTTTAAAAATGGCATCAGAAGCCCACGGGGTCCCCTCCCATTCTTTGAGTCTGAGGTTCTAGCATGGGCTGATCGGGGCCAGGGACAACTCACCCCAAGGCGTAGACAGAGCTGGAGTTGTAGTAAGTTCCCAGGCGGGTGCTGGCAAGGAGCTCCTTGAGCTGTGAGGAGGGAAGACAGAGCCCCCTGGGGACTCTGCACGGGGCAGATAGCACCAGCTTCCTACCTTTGCTCCCGTGGTAACCCTGCTTAACACAGGAGCCTAAGGGTGGAGAGGCCTGCTCATGGTCAGTCAGTAATCAGTGCCCAGCCAGGGGACAAACCTCACACCCCGCCCACCTTTTTCTCCTTCCCCCACACCTGGCTCTCGCCTCCACCAGAACCCCAGTGTCCTCTTTGCCCCTTGTCAAGGTCACTCCCCAACTCTGAGTAGCCCTGCTGGGCTCCTGGGTCCCCTCTGCCCCTCCTCCCAGCAGCCTGGGACACACAGCTCCTGCTCCGATGGGGATCTCAGCTGATTAGAGTATTTGCACACTTCCAACTACAGCACCAAGGTGGGCAGGGGCTCCTGAGCCCTTTGAATGGCATGGAAATAATGGCCATGTTATCTCAATTTCATACCAACCCTGGAAGAGTCTCAAGCTGCCCCCCTCGGTAGAGTGGTGTGGCGTCACAGCTCACAGCAACCTCACCTCCAACTCTTGGGCTTAAGTGATTCTCTTGCCTCAACCTCCCAAGTAGCTGGGACTACAGGTGCCCGCCACAATGCCCGCCTATTTTTGTTGTTGTTGTTTCAGTTATCGTTGTTGTTTTAGCTGGCCCGGGCTGGGTTTGAACCCACCAGCCTTGGTGTATACGGCTGTGCCCTACCCACAGGCGCCTCCTGGCCAACACAGGCTGTTAAGGCATGGGTTTGAGGGGCTGGGAATCTGAGGCTTAGCTCAAGAGAGCACCCTGTGAAACGGCATGGGACAGTCTCAGAACTGGCTCCCACCAGGGCCAAGGAACTTGGGGTATTTATCCACCCATTACCACTGAGAGGTGCCACTGACAATAACTCCCTGGCACTCTGGCCTACCCTGCTGGCAGGGGTCCTGTGGCCTAAGTGGAAGGTGCTAGCAGCAGACCAGCCCCATGCACTGAGCTGTTGCCCAGTGAGGGAAGGGCAGGTGGGGCTCCTAGAGCAGCAACTACTCTGTGGCCTTCCCTAAAGGCCACACATTCTCTGCCCTAGTAAGAGGTACTGGCAAGCACCCACTGACTTTCCTGCCACTCTAGACCACATCCCTTTGCTGGCACACAGAACAGGCCATGCTCCCAGAGTGTGCTCCAGATGGACTGCCCATTGGCTTGACCTGACTGGACCCCTCCCCCTCCCTTCTTGCTCCCTCATTTCCTGCATCTCATCTCTAAAATCCTTTCCTACCATCTTCTGGGCTTTGGCAGTTTCGCTGCGAAAGGCACTGGACTCCCGGTGGGCGAAATCCTGGGAGAAGTGGCGATTGAGCACGCGGAGGCTGCCAGCGTACACCTGGCTGACTGTGACCTCTGCCTTGTACCCTGCCCAGGAAGAATACAGCAAGGTTAACCGAGGAGGCAGGTGAGAAAGGCTCCTGCTTCTCCCATGCCTTCTCCTGCCACCCCCAAGCTCCGTGACTCAGCCTCCATCATCATCATCATCATCTTTGTCATTGGTATTTGCATCATGGCCATCCAAAGTTTCTTGGATGACAAACTGGCTGTAAGGTGCCAGGGAGGAGAGAGGCCCATAGACGATGGTGGCTCACAGGTTCACAGTGAAAGACTTTTGCACAGTGACCAGTGCAGGACATGAATGGCAGGCAGTCCAGGGAACCCATACAGACCCAGAAGGCCAAGGTTGTGGGTCAGCATCTCTATGCAGCCTTCCATTCACCAGGTTGTCTGGTATGAGCTGAGCGCACACTATGTGGGGTGCACTAGTTGATCCTTATTCTAGTAACCCCCCAGCATGTGAGATCCATGAGGAGGGCCACCAAGGAGAGCACAGGGCGCTATTAAGGAGACATGACAAAGAAACCCAGCAGGCAAGAATGACCCTCCAGCTGAGATGCAAGGTCTGGGCGACCATATGGAAAAGACAAGGGAGAAGGAAGTAACTTTAAGGCCAAAGGGTCAGAATGTGTGAAGGCCCGAGGCACAGGGGCCCGGTGAACAGGGGGCTCACAGTTGGTGTGACTGGAGCAATCAGAGAAGGGGAGGGACAAGAGAGGCTGGGGCACCAGCAAGGCAGGTTTTAGTCTTTATCTGATGAATAAAGGAAACCGCGAAAAATTGAAAGATCAGGGATGATGTCATCAGATTTCTGATTCACCAAGACCATTTTGACTGATGGAAGACAGCAGATTCACAGCCCTGGGTTATACCCCTATTCATTCATTTATTCTTTTACTCAACATTTATTGAGGACCTCCTGTGTGTAGGGACTGGTCTAAAGCATGTGTGAATATATCCAAATAACAGTGACAGAACAACACTGCTCTCCCTCAAGTTCAAGTCCAGTGAGGAAGACACAATGAAAAGCATGCTCAGTTTGTACAGGTAGAGCCAGCAAGTGCCGTGGAAACCAGGGGCTGGAGTGGTGGGAGAGCAATGTGGTGGCCAGGGATGAAGGTAGTGTCTATCTTTGCAAGTGCAAAGGCCCTGAGGTGGGGGGCTGTGCTGTGTTTGAAGAGCAGTGAAGAGTGAGAGCAGGGGGAGCTGAGAAAGGGAAGGGAAGGGCACAGCCACGGAGGCATGGCAGCCCTGGGAGGACTTGGGCTTTTACCCTGAGTGAGGATGGGAGTCTCAAGAGTTTTAAGCAGAAGAGTTAGATGACTAGCTTTGCTTTATGAAATGGTCCCTTTGCTGTTACACAGAGCAAGGCTCTAGGGAAGCCAAGCCAGTGGCAGGGAGGGCTGCGGGAAGGTGACTGCAGTCATCAGGTGAGAGTTCAGCAGCAGGAGCACAGCCTGGTCCCAGTGGGGGAAGCTGCTAGTTCACATTGCTCCCAAAGTGACTCCTCTACCCCTGATCCCTGGCCAGGAGGTGGGGTGGGAGTGGGGGGGTGTCGGCTTCCCCCAGCTGAGGTTAGGGAGCACTCACCCATTGGGTCCTCCACCCCACAGAACTCCTGGCCTTCCAGGCCAGTGCCCTGTGCTTTACCCTAAGGTTAATTATCCCGCTACCCAAGGAGGCCTCCATAGCCCTGTGCTATTTGGGGCGCTGGCTTCCCGCCAGTGGTGAAATGCACACAGCATCTCCTCCCTGCCCGCGTTGCTCGGCTTTGAGTAGAATCTCTACGAGTCACTGCAAGTGGACCCATGTCCAACTTAGGCTTCCCAACAGCATCATGCCTGGAGGCTGGTTCCAGAGATCTCCCCACCCTGGCCCCCTTTGGAGCAGAGGCGCCTAGATAGATTTATCTCCACTGTTCCAAGGCTGATCCCTGGGTTCCTTTCAATAGGCCTGCAATTCCACAGGGAGACTCAGGCAGTAAGATTACCATCTAACTTGTGCAGAATGTTTAATGGGGTTAAATGTTTAATGGATTCTTGCTCATTTGGGCAAGTGGGGTTGTCCCTGCTGTGGTTTCCTAGTCCCTCAGCTTCCTCTATCCTAGCACATGCTGTGTGTTAGTATAATTGTCCTGTCTAACTCCACATCTATGTCACCAGGGCAGGGCTGGCCCCAGAATCTGGCACACAGGAAGTGCTCAGCACAGAATGAATGAATGGGTCTTCTACAGTGTGCAGGGAGCATTTTTACAGACACCATCTACTGTGGGTTTTCATTACTTCCCACTGCCAAGAGCTGAAGGAAAGAGATACTGTCGCCATTGGTTTCAAAGAAAGACAGCAAAGGCCCAAGACCATTTTATTCTATGACCCACCCATGGAAGGCTAGATGAATGGGTCCCCAGTGAGAGCCCATTTCTCCTGGGGCTCTAGGGACTGATTGAGGGCTGTGATATTGGGGAGGGAGGGCCAGGGTTAGAGACACAGGAGAGGCCCCCAAGGTCAGCTGCTCCCTAGTTCTCCCCTTCTTCCCCCATTCATGCTGGGCCCTGGATACCCAGAGCAGATAGAGCTGTAGTCCCCACCCTGGAGGAGCACCCAGGCTGGGCTCAGTGGGCAGAGGCACTAATTGACACCAGGCATCACCAGTGCCTCTGGGCCTCCTCCAGCTGAGTAGGGTGGCTCTGAGGGTCAGGGCAACCCAGAAGGACTGCAGGCAAGGGGAGAGGGCAGCATTCACACTACTTAGGCTTATTGGTTCACAAAAACTGGTGCTAAGAAAGCCCTCCTTTTCCAGCCTGCGGGGAGCTGCAGGGCACTTGGCCCAAGCAAGGAGCAGACCCCAGCCACAGGACCCGGAACAGAGTCCAGCAGCATTGTCACCTTGAGGGCCATGGGAGACTCAGAGAGAGGAAGTGTCTTGCCCAAGGTCACGCAGCAAGTTGCTAAGCATTGACAGACCACAGACCTAGGATCCACATCTGCCCTGCTGTGCCCTTCATGGCCTCTCCAACTCCCCCCACCAGGTGCCTCTCCTAGGGGGCCCACACCATTACCTAGGAAGTACCAGAGCAGCACTCCCACTGACACCAGCACGATCAGGGCCAGCCACAGGGGCGCCAGGCGGAGGTAGTTCTGGGCTTTTCTCTTGGTGTCCTCGGGGGCCTTGAATACCCTCTCTGGCTCTGCTTCCTCACCATCACCTCCATCGCTCTGCCCGCCAGCCACTTGGGGGGCTTCAGCCATGGGCATCCTAGCGGGAAAACAGATCAGAGTTGGAGACAGCCTCTGCATTTGCAAGGGAGCTTTGCTGAGCACCACCGGTGCACAGGAGCGAGGCAGCACCCTGCCTTTTGGAGTGGCAGGGTAATAACCCCAGGTGGCAGTGACAGTGGGCACTGAGCCAGCTCACAGAGGAGGAAAGCAAGTCTTAGAGCAGCTTGCACAGAGCTGGACTGAAGAAGCCCACCTTCATACCCTCTGTGCTCCCTACAGTCAGAGGACAGCAGGTTCAGTGCCTGAACCCATGAACGCCAAGCCCCAAGGCTGCACCTCACAGGACTACAGCTTCTCTTCCTCTCACTTTCCTTCCAGAGAGGGAATGCTTTTCTTTCCCTAAATCACCATCACGGCCAATGTCCTTAGCTACCAGAACCCGGAGCCAGCACTGTGCTGGGCCAGGGACTGCTTGCTTTAGGGTTACTGTCCCTGTCACCTCACTACTCTCTCAAAGTCTGGAGGAGCTGAGGAAGGGGACAAAATCTAACATTCATTTAATGCAATGGTTCTCAACCTGTGGATCGCAACCCCTTTGTAACAATGAAAATAGATGGCAGTGGCTCAGTGCCTGTGGTTCGAGCGGCTAAGGTGCCAGCCACATACACCTAAGGTGGTGGGTTTGAATCCAGCCCGGACCTGCCAAATAACAATGACGGCTGCAACCAAAAAAAATAAATAAATAAAATAACCGGGCGTTGTGGTGGGCGCCTGTGGCCCAGCTACTTGGGAGGCTGAGGCAGAAGACTCGCTTGAGCCCAGGAGTTAGAGGTTGTTGTGAGCTGTGATGCCACAGCACTCTACCAAGGGGGACAGCTTGAAGCTCTGTCTCAAAAAAAAAAAAAAAAAAAAAAAAGGTAATAGATGGCATTAGAAAGGTTGAGAACCACTGATTTAATGCCTTCACGAAACATTTCTCATTTAATCCTCAGGTCCTGGGAATTGGGGACCAATCCTGTGTGTTTTTCTTCCTGGGGCCCACTCTGTAAGGACATTTTCCACTCATTATCTCATTTAAATCTCTGCTTCCTCCTCGAAGTTCTGTCCCCATTGGACAGATAAGGAATCTGAGACCCAGAGGGCTGTAGCAACAATTTAGTCTAGGGTTTTCCTAGCCTCAGCTTCCCAATGCCATTTGAATATCTGGCGTTCACTATGGGCCACATTTTACAGATGAAAAAAATTGAAGCCCAAAGAGTCTAAGCCGCTTGCCCAAGGTCACACTGCAAGTAAGTGGTGGTTGAGTCCAGGTGCCTGACTCCCTGTTCTTTCCACTATTTTGGGATGCTACTTGAGCTGTTAATTAACAATTGGTGATTAAATAACAACTGAATGTCACCCTTCTCAGTGCTGGGGGCTGAAGCTCTGTGTCAGACCCATCTAAACAAACATCTGAATGTCTTTGTCCTCTGGGCAGGTTTGCCCACAGCACAGAGAAGGCCCTTCACCCACCCACCTACCACTCAGACATCCATAAATGCCACTGGCGCTTCCTTTGGGCTCATCTTGGGTTATTCCTGAAAATGTGGCTCCTTGGTGATGCTCAAAGTTCTCCCAGATGTGTGTGTGGGACCTCAGCCTTCCTCTGTCCTCCCTGCTCCCTGCAGCTCCTCCTGACACTGTTCTCAGCTAAGTTTCTCTGGCAGCTGGCCACAGGGACCCTCTTGAGTGGCTTCCAACAGACGCAAGGAATGGAGGACCTGCAGGGCATTCTCGCTAGGCAGGGCTGTCCTCTCCACCCTTTAGCTGTAGGATGGTCAGCCCTACATGTGGGATGGGCCCTACTGGCTTTTAGGGGGCCGGGCACTGGTAAATGTACTGCTGTGGGTGGGACAGCCTCACACACTACCCCAAATGTCCACAGTGTCCCTAGTGAGAAAGAGGCAAGAGACAGGTGAGTGACAGGAAGTACAGGGCTGCCTCTTTGTCCTGAGCTGGCCACCTGTGTCTGTGGTGGCTGTCCTCCACAACTTGACCAGAGTGGCTAGACTAGAGAGAACCCAGGTGGTGGGCCAGCTCTCACCCTCCCTCCACCCAAGGAGGCCACACCCCTCTTTAACTCTGAGTGTGGACCACAAAGGAGCTGTTTGGGGATGACTCCTAGGACCATGGGGACTCGGGAACAGAAGTCACAACACCTGACCATGATTTTGACTATTTCCAGTGCTTTATACACACTGCCATGTGAGCTTTGCACAGGGCCCACAGATTCTCTGGCTATTCCTGATTCAGATCTAGGACCATGAGGGCACCTTTCAGAGAGGCCATCAGAGCCAGAGCAAAGCCCTGGCAGGAGCTACTGTAACTGGGTGTCTCTGAGAGAGTGGAGGACTCTGGGAATCCCCTCCTCACATATAAACACTCACAGACTCACACACAGATGGCAGAGACACACCGAGGGCTACCCACACACATCTATTCATGACATAGAAACTCATGGATGCACACCTTCACTTCATGCATATGTGCATTCACACACACACACACGCCAACTGAGGCCCGTGAGCCCAGGGTTCCGTGCCAAGGTCAGTACATGGGTGCAGTGGGGAGCTCTGTGCCTGTCTCCCACAGCGGGAGGTCAGGGGAGAACCTGGGTATGGAGAGGGCAGCCTGTCTAGTCCTGTGGGGTGGGGGTAGGGTGCTCATCTGGCTAAATCAGGCCTCTCCCCTCCCCCTGTCCCTGCCGGCCTAAATCCTAGGCCATCCTGCAGCCAGCACCACCTCTACACACCTGGCCTTGCTCCACCATGTCTCCCCAGCCCAGCTCTGTAGACCCCTCACCTTCTGCTCATTGGTCACTCTCTGGCTGATGAGGTCCTGCAGATCTGGCCTCAGAGCAGAGGAAGTGGCTCAGTCCCCAGAGGCCAGGCCTAGCTCTCAGAGTGGACACAGTCACCAGGTCATCCATAGGTCCTGGTCCCCTGTCCTGGAGACCCCCCCACTTACCTTTGGGAGTGGCAGGTAGGTGCAGGGCCTGCACGCAGGCCTCAGGAGCCTCTGTTTGTCTAGGCCAAGGTCTCCCAACCCCCGCCTGGCCGGCCTGGGCTGGATCAATGGCCTGGAGCCATGGCCGGGGTGTCTGGCCCTTGTCCCCTGTGGCCTGTGGCCCCAGGCTCCATGGGCTTCCTGCTGGATCCAGGACAGCACTGTGACTGAGCACACGTAAACAGGCCAGAGGCAGGAGATAGGCAGTGCCCGCCCCGTGGCACCCCGGAGGCTGGCGGGCAGGTGCAGGAGACCTGAGCTCTCCCCCGGGGCCGTTGCCTGGTGACATTCCTGCCTGGTTACAGCCCCCGGTCCCTGAGAGCATGAGGTGGGGGAGGCCAGGACTGGGGGCTGTGCAGAGGCCCACGCAGGTAAGAGCAGGGACTCATGTCCTGTGCTTACCTGGACAGATGAGACCAGAGGAGCCATGGGCCCAAGAGAGAAAAGAGGCTGGGCTCATGCAGTCTGGGGACTGAAGAGGAGAAAGTGGAGGTGGGGGTGGAGCTTGCCACCATTCTCAATTTAGCTGGGAATGATTTGAATTCCTACCTGATCCTTACAGTGGCCCTTGACCACCTGTGGCTCTCGGGCACTCAGGCTGTGGCTGCACAGGTGAGATGCACCCCAGGCTTCCAGCACTGAGTGCAAACAAAGGATGTAAACATCACAAAAGTTTCTATATCCACTGTGGGTCCAAATGATAACATTTAGGCTGTCTTGGGGTGAATAACATTATTAAAATGAACTTCACCTGCTTTTTTTTGCAGGCTTTAAGTGACTACTAGAAAATTTACATTTCGAGTGTGGCTGACACTGTTGCTCTGTGGCAGTGCTGCTGCGGGGATGGGTGACCCGCGTGTGTGCCAAAGCATGGGCACCTGGGTTTCCTGGGGTGTGGATGGGTGTTTGGCTCAGTAAGGGGTTGACTTTCAATGAGTGTGTGTTACGAGGCCAGAATGTGGTGAGCGTGCCAGAGGCGCCATGTGCACGTGGCTTCCAGGTTGGGTGGGATATGTGTATGGTGTGTAGAGTGTGTCGTGTGTGTGAGGCATGTACGGAGCGAGGTGGAGTGTGTGTGTGTGGACTGCCCATGTGTGTGCAGCGTGGGGGCTGGGGTGTGCACAATGTAAGAGGTGTGTGAGGACATATGGTGTGGAATGAGGCATGTGCATGTGTGCGTATGAATGTGTGTGTACATGCTCACAATGTGGAGGGGATGTGTGTGTGGAGTGTGAGGCATGCGTGAAGCATGAGGTATGCATGGAGCATGAAGTGTGTACAGAACATGAGGCATGTGTGGAGTGTGAGGTGTATGGATATGAGGTGTGTGGCGTCTGAGATGTATGTGGAGCAGGAGGCGTGTGTGGAGGGAGTACGGGGCATGTGTGGAGTGTCGGGTGGGTACAGAGCATGAGGCGTGTGTGCAGAGTGAGGCATGTGTGAAATGTGAGGCATGCATGGAGTGTGAGGTATGTGGAGTGTGAGGTGTGTGGAGTGAGGTGTGTGGAGTGTGAGGTGTGTGGAGTGCGAGGCATGTGTGGAATGTGAGGTGTGTGTGGAGTGTGGGTGCCTCTGGGTGGGACAGGTTGGGGTTTGGGGTGTGCTCTGTGGGGAAGCTCATGCCCTCTGCGATGCCAGCGGGGTTGTCAGTGTAGGAAACTGGGCAGGTTCCCTGACTTGTGAGTTGTTTCCTCATCTGGAAAATGTGGAGAATTAGGCCCTACTTGAGAACAAGAAAAGGTGAGCGTGAAGGCCCAGTACTGTGCGAGGTGCCTAGCAGAGTATCCTCTGGTCACAGGGTGACACCCTGGACATTGAGGCCAGGTCAGAGTGTGCACTGGAGACCAGGTAGAGCCTGGAGACCAGGCTGCGTGAGCGATGCCTCCCTGTGCGGCTCTTCAACTCTGTTTCAGGCACTCACTCTCTGGCATGTAATTTCTGCATTTCTGCACGTGTGGGTGTGGGTGCACGTGTGTCCTGAGGTGTGGAGGCGCATGCCCACCACATCTGCCCACGAGCTTGGCACAGCAGCATCCCCGCAAGGACAGGGGCTGGGCAGGGCAAGGGGCACACACACCATGGGGCTGCTTAGGATCCTGGATGGGGGATGCCTTCCTCTCCTTCTCCTGTTCTTCAGCCCTGCCCATGGGTCTGACCCTGACCTGTGATCTTACCCCATGTCCCTCACTTCATCCCCTTATGATTTTCCCTCATCCTCCAAGCTGCCCTCTTCTCAGGCCTTGGCCCCCACCTTGCAAACTTTCCAAGGGACAGGTGCTTGGGACGGAGCAGCGACAATGTGTGTGGGGGGCCAAGACACCCAAAGCCCTGCTCTGTGTCCCACCTTGTCCTTTGCAAGGCCAAGAGGCCCAGGCCCCTGCTGGAGCCACCTGGTAGCTGGACGGTCTGAAGAGTGGGTCTTGCACAATCAGTGTCCTCTGTACTGACACTACCTGATTGATCAGCCATGGCCTGGGGGAGGGGCCTGCCAGGGAGCAGCAAAATGCTGAGGGAGTGTTTGAAAGCTCAGGCCGAGGGTCCCAGGGTCCCAGGGAGCTATGTGTGGGGAGGCATCAGGGCTTCCCTCTGTCAACAAGGGTAAGTGTAGGAGCTCGATGCTCTCGTCCCGCAGTAGAGGGACAAGTTTACACACAGCTTTGCTGTTTCCTAGGAATCTGTGGGTCACGCCAATACTGGGCCTCAGCCTCCTTGGGCCCCAGAGACAGAGAAACCACCTGGAGGCCTGCTGAGGTGAGGCTTGGAGGCCAGGGGGGCACAGTAGGCTTGACCCAGCAGGACAAGGAAGAGACCAGCTGGCATCTGCCCACCATACCCAGAGATCCAGCTTAGAGTCACAGGACCTGGCTGAAATCCCAGTCCCTCCTGCTAGTGGCCCGGAAAGACGTCCCCAGGCTGCCACAGGATGATAAAGCTGGGCTCTTGGTGGGAGGAAGACATAGGGTGGGCCCCTAATCAAATATGACTGTGTCTTTAAAAAAAAGGACGTTTGGCGACAGAAACACACATGTGCACAGGGAGAATGCCATGGGAACGTGAAGGCAGAGAGCGGTGATACTTCCACAAGCCAAGGAACCCCAAAGATTGCCATCAAACCACAGACACTGAGGAACTACCTTGATCTTGGACTTCCAGCCTCCAGAACTGTGAGATGATAAATTCCAGCTGTTTAAGCCTCCCTGTTGGTGGCACTTTGTTGTGGCAGCCCTGGCCAACTAACACAACACTCATTGAACTGGTGCCAGGTGGATGTTGTAGAGAACCTGTTTGTGTGTTCACCTTCCTCCCAGGGCCCTGCACACAGTAGGCATTTGCATTTACTCATTGTCCACTGAAGAGACTGAAGACCCAGATGTCTGCATTTTTTAAATCAGAGACCTTCAGGTAATAGGATGGAGTGGAATAAGATAGGACCTCATGCACCATGGGGCTGGAGGGCACCTCTCTGAGTTCAAGGACGGCCCTGTCTGTAGACCTCCAAAAACCCAGCCTGTAGGTACAGCACCCTTCCCCTGCACCAAGTCACAGCACTTATTCTCTGAAATCATCCAGCTTAGTGGTCTACTCCCTTCCCTTCTGCTGTCCCCACCCTCTTTAGACTGTGAGCCCCCTGAAGTCAAGGCCTTGTCTGTCTTGCCCTTCGTTAGATCCCAGCCTAGAACAGTGCCTGGCACACAGGAGAATAAATATTTGTTGAGTGACCAAATGACAGTTACTACGAACTCCTTCGATGACAACTCAGGAAGGATTTTTAGAGTGGGGCCCTTCACAAACATATCCAATCACATAGGTGCCTCAAGTCAGGCTTTAGAGTGGGAAGTCAGGCTTTAGAGTGGGAATATATGTCTCCACTCAGCAGAAGACGAGACCGAGGGTCCGAGAGGAGACGTTGACTTTCTCCAGGTCCCACTGCAGGAAGAACAGAGCCTCTGGCCTGCTGTCTTTGATGGGGAATGTTGTGGTTTCCAAATTATCACAAACCAGTGGCTTAAAACAACAAAAATTTATTCTCCGACAGCTCTGGGGCCAGATGTCTGCAATCAAAGTGTTGGCAGGTTCATTCCCTCCCTGAAGGCTCTGGGAAAGAATCCTTCCTGGCCTCTCCCTGCCTTCCAGTCATTCTGGAGGTCCTTGGTGATTCCTGGCTCAGAGATGCGTCACTCCAATCTCTGCCTCTGTTGTCACATCGCCATGAGGACTTTTTCCTGCCTCCTGCTTCATTTTTACACCCAAATATTCATGGCAACTTTGTTCACAATTCTCAAAAGTTGGAAACAACTCAAATGTTTATCAACTGGGGAGTGGACAAATAAATCGTGGTACATGCGTAAATAAACAACTACTCCACAATAAAAAGCGATGAATTACTAATACATAAAACAGCACAGATGAATCTCAGCAGTATTACACCAAGTGAAAGAAGCCAGGCACAAAAAGCTTCATAATATATGATTCCATTTATATAACATTTTAGATGTGGCAAAAGCAGAGGAGAAGAAACAGGATCAGTGATTGCCAGTGGCTGGGGACAGGAGGAGGGGACTGACAGCAAAGGAGCTCAGAACTTCCTGTGGTGATGGAACGATTCTACATTTGATCATAGTAGTGGTGACATGATGGTATTCATAGAAACGGAGCCTTAGAGGGATGAATTTCACTTAGATAAATTATACCTGAACAAATATATATATATATACACACATATATATATATAACATAAAAATCCCTCTCAAATAATAATAATAGTCCCTTTTCTCTTCCATTGCCAGAGGAGTTAGCATAGCAGCGAAGGTGACGGGGTGAGGAGTTGAAGAATCATCAGAGGTGGGGTGTAGTGGCTCACACCTGTAACCCTGGCCCTAAGGGAGACCAAGGCTGGAAGATCTTCTGAGGCCAGTTCAAGACCAGCCTGGGCAACATAGGGAGACCTATTCTCTACTGAGAATTTTAAAATTTAGCTGAGCATGGTGGCATGTGCCTGCAGTCCCCACTACTTGGGAGGTTCCTCCCTTAGAGCCTTCAGACAGAGGTCATGGCCATGCTGACAGCTTGATTTTGGACTTCTAGCCTCCAGAACTCGGGGAGAATAAATATCTGTTGTTTTAAGTCTCCTTGTTGGTTAAAGCAGGTCTGGGAAGCTAATGACCCATCCTGGAACCTAAAAGAGCTCATCCTTCCAGACACTGTCTAGACAGCGTCTGGCTGGGATGCTCAGAGCCTACCCCCTCACCTTCTCACCACAAACCCCGGGCCTCCCCAGAGGGTTTCAGAGACAGAGAGAGAGAGACTCAGCTTAGCAAAGAGCCTTCTCCAGAGTGGGCTGGACTCTCCCCACCCAAGATGAAGAGGTGAATGTGACATTATTTGGAAATAAGGTCTTTGCAGATATGAGCAAGTTAAGACGAGGTTATATTGGGTTAGGGTAGACCCTAAATTCAGTATGACTAGTGTCTGTTTTATTTTATTTTATTTTATTTTTGAGACAGAGTCTCACTATGTCACCCTCAGTGAGGGCTGTGGCATCACAGCTCACAGCAACCTTCAACTCTTGGGCTTAAGCGATCTTGCCTCAGCCTCCCAAGTAGCTGGGAGTAAGGCACCTGCCACAATGCCTGGCTATTTTTTTATTGCAGTTGTCATTGTTGTTTAGCTGGCCCAGGCTGGGTTTGAACCCACCAACTCCTGTGTATGTGGCTGGCTCTGTAACCACTGTGCTATGGGTGCCAAGCCATGACTAGTGTCTTTAAAAAAGGAAAGAAACTGGACACGGAGACACAGACACACAGAGACTTCAACATTTCATTTGGGGGGACAAAATTCAACCTTTAACAGATGGGGCGAGGAGGCAGCAGAAGGCTGGCTGTTGACAATGATGCGGACCAGTGTTCCAAAGTATCCATGTGGCCCTGAGTCCCCAAGTCACCTCTCTACACCTGAGCTGCTGCCACAGAAACACAGGTGTGACCTGCGCCCTTCCTCCTTCAGGTCTTGGGAACCTGAAGTGCCCAGTGGAAGGAAAGGACTCACAGCCAAGCTGCTCACTGGGAACATCTTTCCCAAGGCCGCCTAGCCAGGGTCCCGTGGGCCACTCTGTCACCTCTGTCCAATGCACGCCACATGCACTGCAACTTGCTTGCTCACCCAGTAAAGTGGTGTCAGACCTCAACACGGCCACACAAAAAGAACAAGAAACACACTGAAAAGGAAAAATAACAAGGCTCAGTCGCTCCTCTGGAAGAAAGCAGCCAAGCCGGGGAGATAGATTGGGACAGGAATCAGGTCCCCCCGTCTCCCAGCCCTCAGGGCTCCTTAGCAATACTTAGCAATGCCTCTTAGGTGCTTTAAGAAGCAGGAATGCATCAGAGTGGCCTGTGATCGACTCAAGTGTAAGACTTTTCAGGAGTCAATCCCTCGGTGGCCCACCTTCCTCCATGAACAGGGACTCAAGGTCCCTAAGGGTCCTCTAGACCATAAAATGCTATGACTACCTAAGCAGGCCCAGGACAGGCCTCACCCAGGTGAGAAAAATGGTCATTTCTCCCCATTTGACAGGTGAGAAATTGGAGGCTCAGAGAGTGGTGTGATCAGCTCGAGGTCATGCAACCAAGACACACTGAGAGCTGGAATTCAAACCCAGGCCCTTTGACTTCAGAGCTGGTGGCCCTTTCCCAGTGCCACCCTCTCCTGTCTGTGTGTCCCTCCCTCCTTCCCTCTCCACCACGTCTGCCCCAGCCCAGGTTCCTGGAATCCTGCCTCTGTCTGAAGGTGCCACTGGGACAAACTCACAGGCCCCTCCCCTGCCCCCTTTCTGCTTCCCCAGACAGGCGGTCAGGGATGCGGAATCTCATCAGGGGTTGGGGTTTGAGAGGTGCCACCTCAAACCACATCCGGGTCACGGAATGGAAACTGCATGTGTCACTCAGTCTGACCTTCTTCTCCACTGCCGTGTCCCAGCAGGAGAGGCTCCTGGAATAGAGGGGCAGACTGAGACTCAGAGAGGGAGTGGAGACTACCCGAGGTAGTGACTACCCAAGTGACCTGATTCCCAGTCCCATGCTCTTCTCAGTATACTACCCAAAAATCAATTCTAAAAACGAAAATAAAAGAACAATATCATTACCATACACACAGGCCTTAGGCGGAGAGTTAATAAAAATTTCCAAAGGACATAAAATTACAATTTTTAACTTTTTTTTTCTTCCAAATGTTGCACGCACAGCCCTTGCTGCAGACAGGCCAGTTTGCAGGTCTGGCTCTTGCCCTTGAAGGGATCCCTGTCCAAGATCACAGGCACCCAGGGTTCTCCATGGAGGCTCATTCCTGTTGCCCTTTTACAGGAAGCCCCAGCACTTACTCGAGTCTCCCTGAATTCCTCTCTTATCCCTATAAGCTGTGTCATCAGCCTCTGTTGTCTTGGTACACAGAGAGGGCTCCTGATGCCACTGGCTTCTGTCCCTTCTTCTGCCCATGGTGGCTTCTCAGAACCTGTAACTGTCCTCTTCCCTCTGTCCTTCCTCCTTTTCTTCTCTCCTTCCTTCTCTTCACCTGTTTACCACCCCACATATACATTCAATGAACAGCCCGCGGCAGGTGCTGGCATTCGGGGATGGATGGATAACGGGTCATGAGGCTGAAGGCCGAGAGAGGGTCACAGCCAGGCTCAGAGAACAGGGGCCTGGGGGACAGAGCACCCAGCTCAGCTGGGCTCAGGAAGAAATAACCTTTACAACAAATCCAGTTGGATGGCTTTCTTTTTCTCTATCTAGTGTGCAGACACATTTCACTTGGCCCGCTTGTTTTCCATTTTTATAAAATTAGCAGCCAATATTTTAAAATAAGGATGCTTAAAAAACTAAAACTAAAATGAGGATGCTTTGCATAAACAAGTGGAATTTCCTGCTTCTCTTAAAAATTTAGAAGATCTGGCCTGCCTCCTAACATGGCAACAATCAGTGGTGGCTACCCTGGAGCAATTCCAGTTTGACACAGACCCCACCATTCCCTATTGTCACACTGGCTGGGTTACAAAGTGTTATGAAAGTCAGAAGCCTGGGTTTGAGTCCTGGCTCCGTGCATATTAGCCACATGACCTTGAACTACAGGTTATTTGATCTTGTTGTGTCTCCGTTTCCTCATAGAGACAAAAATCCTAGGTGGTGCTGTGGAAATCAAAAGAGACAACTTATGTGAGGAACTTAGAGCTGCATCTGCACCTACTAAGTCTTACTATGCATCGCTGTATTGTCATCACTGTTACTATTACTAACCCCCACCCGCTATTGGCATCTGGGTTTGGAATCCCAGCAGCAAAGTTTCATCAATAGTTTCACATTTGCAGAACTCACAAGCAATAGAATTCTCTTGCCAACATGTGTGTATTTTTTCCCCAGCTGTTTGCCCTGACCAGCGTCCTAGCAGGTGCTTTTCTACACAACCTGTTCCAAGAATCACTGGACTATTGGCCGGGGACATCCACTCAAACACGGGGGTTCACCAATACCCAAGCCCATTCCAAACACCCCCAGATCTCTCAAATTGAAACAGCCAGTTTGAATAGTCCAGCACGCATAGTAGGATGTCCACAAACACATCACAATGACTGCGTCATGAGTTGCCTACCAAACATGGTACATTAGGTTCTTCCAAGCAGTAGCTGGTCCAGGGCATTCAACGTTGAGATGGGAGCTGGGGCAAGACTCTAGTGACAAATTTGCTGTGTCTTTTTAATCAGCATCCTTCCAGAGGTCACAGAACAGACTAGCTCAGCCAAAAGGGAGCTTAGAAGTAACACAGATCCTTCCTCTTTGCATCCTTCACCCCATTTTATAGATGAGGAGTCTGAGCTCTTCATCAAAGGGACCAAGTGGGACCAAACTGGAAGAGACATAATGCCCTTGTTCTGGACTCAGCCAGCGGCAGGTCACACAGCTGGATTGGTGGGGGGGAGACTGCAGAGCTGTCCTTCAGCATTTCCACACCTCCTAGATGTCTGTCGTCAGGGATTCAGGCCTCACCTCAAAGCATTGTCCCACCCCAGACCTATCCGGGTGCTTGGGGGAGCTGGGCCATCAGGAACAGGAGGCTGGGTAGGCAAGAGTGGCGGAGACTCTCACCCCACAGTGGCATCCAGCTCAAGTCAGTGGCATTCACACCTGCAGCCCCGGGCTACTGTCACAGCCCTGTCACCATCTGGCTCCTCAACAACCCTCTCCTCTCTCCTGAGTACTTTACACGCACTCACTTCTTTATCCTCCTGGCCTGGGGGAAACTGAGGCACAGAGAGGCTTAGCTATTTGCCCAAGGTCACAGCTGGTAGGCCACAGAACCAGGACATTTAACCTCAGCTGCCC